CCGCATTCCAGAACTTGGAGCTTTGCATCTCGCTTGCCCTCAAATCCTGTCCTACTCCTGAGCAAAATCAGAGCGATGTACTGAAGGAGCACCGCGGGCGCTTGGTGCAGAGCCTGCACGCACTGAAGAAAATGGCCGAGGGCCGCGGCCGCAGTGATGGCAGTGGTGCTCATTCCGACATCAAGAATGAAAAGCCCAGAACTGCAGTCGGCGCATCCCCTGGACCAGTTGCGGAACTTACAGTCAGTGAAACCAGCAGCGCTGCTGGCCCAGGCACTGGCGGCGCTGGCGCTCATCAAATGATTGACTACGCCTGCAAGTTGCCTGATGAGGACCAGCTCAACAGTTGGCTCGAACAGGATGATGTCATGCCGATTTGGGAGGAATGTGAGCGGGCCAAGGCTCACTATCTTTTCCCCAAATACTGGTCTACTTTGGCGGCAGAAGTTGATGATGACTATCAATTTGGCCACCCGGATGGAGATCAATTGTGCGATCTGGTTAGCTGGCTAGGCTTCCTGACAAGTCAGGGAGCAGATGCTGTTCAGGCTGGAGATGTGTGGCAACTTTCAAAAAACTCAGCAAAGCTACACCCTCGCTTGGAAGAGATGTGGCAAAACAGTTGCAAACAGATTTCCCGCTCCGGTTCCGGCTCCCACTGCTCCCACTCTCCGCTGCCACTGCCACCACCGCCACCGCAGGAGGGAGGGAGGGAGGGAGGGAGGGGGGGAGGGAGGGTCCCGGAGTCCGTAGGCAGTCTTTAGTGTGGCAAGGCACCAGGCAAGGCAAGGCAAGGCTACATAGAAATAGAAAGCAGAAAGTGAATCTCAGGTCTCAAGCCTCACTCAGACTCAAACTCAAACTTCACTTTCCTGACTTCTGTATCCTGACTGACTGCAGGCCCTGCAGGCGGTGGAGAATGGTGACACTGTCACTGCGACTGCGCCCACCTTGCCTCTGACTCTGATCCAGGCGGCTGAGGCTCAGGCTGAGCCGGCTGAGCCATCAAAGCCTGTGGACCCACAGGCCATGCCTGATGACTGATGATTGACGATTCATGATGATTCAATGAAATTCGATGGTGAAAACGATCCATTCCCGGGTCCCAGTCCCAGACTATACTAGACTAGACTGGATGACGACGACTACTACTACTGCTGCTGCTACTGCTACTACTACTACTACTGCTACTACTACTGTGCTGAACTACTAGTCTAGTTACTAGACTCTAGACTCAACTCGAGGAGTACTAATTACTAACTAGTAACGGACTGACTGACTGACTGACTGGACGATGATTTTGAGTTGTTTGATTCAACTCCATTGGCAGGATTCGGGCAATGATGCGCCGCCGCCGGCCGCGGCAGTGGAATCCAAGTCGGCGTCAGAGTCACTGCCGCCACCGCCACCGTTTGAAAAGGCGGAGAAGCCGCAGCCGGAGGCGCCGGAGGCGCCGGAGGAGAAGGCAAACGAGAACGAGAAGCCGGAGGCGCCGGAGGCGCCGGCGCCGGAGGAGAAGGCAGACGAGAACGAGAAGCCGGAGGCGCCGGAGGAGAAGCTTGAGCACATGGATGAGGCCGATGTGAAGTGAAGCTAACAACTTGCAATCACTTGACTTGACAAAACAAAGGCACTGACTGTCACTGACTGACAGACTGACGGCTACTGACTGACACAAACACACACTGCACTGCACTGCACTGAACTGACACATTTGCTTTGACCCTGACACAACACAACTCGGACTAGGACATAGCGAGGCGACGCAGCTGTGTCTTTGGTCTCAGTCTGATAGATTGTGAGTGTTGCCCTGAGGATTCCATTTTCTATGACTACTTGACTGACAAGGTGAAGAACATCACGCAACTCCGGGCATTTTTCAAGAAAGCAACCTCTTCAACGTTTGAATCCGAGAGAGCAAAGGCATTGACGCATCCGCACTTCAAAGATTTCCTTGCTCAGCAAAATGCAGATGTCTCTTGTTGGGCCACTTCTGAGAATGAGAAGGACAGACTACAAGACCTACGTGCCTTCATGGTTTGGGCCTATGAGCTAAACCAACAGTCAGCTGCGAGTCATGGTTTTGGCATTGATAAGCCTCTTCGCAACGCCAAGACTGTCCAGAAGACATTGGATTTTCAGGCGGCGACAACTCCTTTACAGGCGTGTTCGTCGTGAGTGTGTCGTCGTCTTTCTTGTCTCGTCGTCGTCGTCGTCGTCATCTTAGTCTTAGTCTTAGTTGTGGTTGTTTTTATGGGGGCATTTCCTTTACTTCTAGGACTACCCAAGCCAAGCTGTTTACTTGAGCAGAACCCCCAAGTCGGCTGACTGACTCACTGACTGGGACTGTGACTCGCGACACTGACAGTCTAGTGACTTAGCGACTGTGACTTTTTGCAGGGTGGTGATCAGAGCCCTATTGCCACACCTTTGCGACGACATAAGGGGAAATCAGCTCCGACGTCTACAAGGCCGCAGGTGAAGGCTGAGGATATCAACTGACGTGATTGACAGGCTGATCGGCTGACCAACTGAGTCAGCTTGAAGTTTCAAGGGAACGGCAACAGCGAGGGTGAGCGGCGGCGGTCACGGTTTTCAATGTTCACTTTTGGTCAATATATAATACTGGGCACTTGTGCTGAATCTGACTCACCGACACTGAATTTCGATATCGATGTTCGATGTGTTGTTTGAAGTAAGTTCGTACGTACTATGTAGAATAATTGCTGCCGCTCAAGACTGTTGCTTAGGGGGCATTCAGCTGAACAAGCTCCAGACTGCAGGTAGCCAGTCGTTTGTCCGTGTGTAAAACACGGCTTGTGGGGGCCAGTGGGACCTTTCGAGGTTTCTTGGAGCTTTACAGCGCTCTGGAGTGCAAAAAAAACAAGCTCGGACCAAAACCAACCAATTTGGACGGTTTTGCTTGAAATGCTTGCCGAAAGTCACTGTTTCTCGCATTTTGACAAATCTGCGCCCCAGCGGGACCAACCCAATTTCACCCGTAAAACGAAATGTCTCAACGGATTTAGTAACATGAAAAACACTTCTTTTTAAGCAAAAAATCGTGCAAAAACACTTCTTTCACAGAACTTTGCAAAGTTTTACAAAGTTTTTACAAAGTTTACATAGTTTACACAGTTTTTACAAAGTTTACAAAGTTTTTACAAAGTTTACAACGTTCTGACAAAGTTTGCGACATTTGCCTTTTGTTACACAAATTTACAAAGTTTTTACAAAGTTTACAAAGTTTTGAAGACTTTGGAAAGTTTACAAAGATTTTGCCAAGTTTACGAAGTCTTGCAAAGTCTACAGAGTTTCGACAAAGTTTACAAAGTTTTGACAACGATTACAAAGTTTTGATAGTTTATTTATTTGCAAAATTTACAAAGTTTCTTTCTACATTTTTACAAAGTTTTTACAAAGTTTGTACAGTTTCACAATTTGTACAAAGTTTTTAGGACATTTACAAAGTGTTCAAAGTTTACAAAGTTTTCACAACGTTCACAAGGTCTTTCAAAATGTTTACAATGTTTTGACAATGTTTACGAAGTTTAAAACGTTTTACAAAGTTTGCAAAGTGTTACGAAGTCTATAATGTCTTTTTTTAAATAGAGTTTACGAAGGCCTACAACATCTAAAAGTTGTTTGCAAAGTTTACAAAACGTTAGTACAAAGTGTACAAAGTTTGCAATGTTTACAAACTTTTTGGCAAAGTTCACAAAGTTTTGACAAAGTTTACAAGTGTTTACAAAGTTTTGACAAAGTTTTCGCAGTTTTTACATAGTTTTACAAAGTGTACAAAGTTTTTTCAAAGGTTTACGAAGTTTAACGTGTTTCAGTGAATAAAAAGTTTACAATTTTAACAACAGTTTACGAAGCTTTGACAAAGTTTGCAAAGTTTGTTCAATCTTTACACAGTTGTTGCAGAGTTTTGAAAGTTTACAAAGGTTTTAGAATTTCACCAAAGCTTCTACAAAGCTTACGCAGCTTTTTACAAATTTACAAAGTATTTACAAAGTTTACAAAGTTCTTACAACGTTTTGCAAAGTTTTCAAAGAATAAAGTTTACAAAGTTTTGACACAGATTGAAAAAATCCGAAACTTTGTAGAAAGTTTGTAAGCATCAAAATCTTTTGTAAAAGAACGTTCAACTCAATAACTTGGTAGCAACTTTGTAAAATTCCAAAACTTGTTCAAAGCTTGATAAATGTCCAAAGCTTTGTTCAGATATCTAAAGGTTCAATACTTTGTAAAAACTTCGTAGTTCCAAAGTTTTGTAAAATTCAATGTACGGTAAGTTTCCAAAACTTTGTGAAGTTTGTTATTTCTATTTTTAAACTTTTTAGACTTTGTTAAAACTTTGTAATGCAAAAACTCGGTAAAAAAGTTGTAATTCCAAAACTTTGTCAATTTTTTGTAAAGATCCAAAACTGTGTAAACACTTTGTAGGAAGTTTGTTTGAAGACCTGCGAAAGCTGTTCAAGAAGAGCTGATCTTTGGATCAGTGAGACTGCTTGCATTTTTTGTTTAAAAAAACGGCATTTGGTGCTTGCGCTTTGGGAATTTGTGACTGATGGCTGTAGTGTTTCAAGGTATTGAGGGTGAGAAGACAGGTCGAATGGTTATTGGTTGTGCAAGTGTTTTAAGACTTGGCCACGGAAACACCAAAACACTTCGTTCATTTTTCCAAGTAACATTGGTGCAAAACACTTCTTGCGAGCAAAAACACTAAACTCAAGCAACTTAACAGATTCTCCCTGACCTTTTCGTTTCGCGGTCGTACAATTTTTGGGCCCTATGTAGGAGAGAGGTTTCCGCCATGGTGTCAGCATGTGACAGCAAGCAACAAAAACTGTTTCACAAACGGGTCAGTGATATTGAAAGGTTCCAAACTCCTGGCAGTTTCCTTTAGCAGACATGGACATGAGGCAGTATATGTGTGGCTTTTTAGTCCCACCATAGCACCCAGTTGCAACATAGGCCCCTTTCATTCATTTGAGGCCGTTCCATGCAAGAATCCAGCGACTATTGGTTCTCCAACCAGATGCGCCTGCGCTATGCTGAAGACTTCCAAGCCATTGAAAACTTTAAGATCACGGAGGCGAGGGGCAGGTTCTCAGACCCTGGTCAGTGGTGTTTTTCCCTGCTCAGCCAACATCTCGTTTTTTCTGCGAGCGCATATAGCAGCTCAATAGAGTAGTGTAATAATCAGGTTCAAGTAGGACTTTCTATACATTCAGCGAAGGCTTCGTGTTTTCCGGCCCCACTGGGCCATGCCACCAGGAACTGGGCCAGGACCCCAACAGGACCCCACACCCACCAGGACCCCCACCGGACTCGCCTGAGAGGTGAAGTTGGAAGGCATGGGCTTCACCACGGAGATGCTCGAGGCACCACGCTTTCTCCCACGCTTTCTCCGTCGGCCTCCGGTCTGTCGCTCCGCCGGTCTCACCGGAGGAGCGACCGAAACAGCCGGGACGAGTTCCCCCAAAAAGCGCCCGACAGCGCCCGAGACATGCATTGGCATAGTATTGGCATAATAGGGTTATCAGGGCTGGTCATAGTATTGGTCAAGAAAAGAATTGCAACATCTTTTGTTGAAGAGATCAGACGGTCGTAACTTGTCAGGTCAGACGATCAGACAATGTTTATAAGTGCCATCCACCTCAAGAAGAGCGGTAACAACAACAACAACAACAACAACAACATGACCAACGACAAGAAGAAGTCATTGTGCATGTATAAAAATTAAAACCTACCTTTTGGACTGAAGCACTGGTTTGTTTCACAATTGTTTTTTTCCTTTCGCTGGGGAGCTGTGCAGCAGACTGGGCAGGCGTTGGTGAAATGGACGCCGCAGCAGATGTCGTGCATGCTGGAGGGCAAGCCACCGACAGCGCCACCACCGGGGTTGTGACTCGGCTCGGATGGGTCCTAAGCGAGAACACGTTGCTTGAGTTTCCTTGTTGAAAGCCTGTGGTGTGAAAGCATCCAAACGGAAAACGCTGTTTAGCTGTTTTTTTACTGCAGCTTCCCTGCGGTTTCAGCTGTTTTCCTTGTTTGCTGTTCGTTGCTTGTGGTGCTTTTTCAAGCATCCTGCGAAGCTGGAAAGAGGATGCAAGTGTTGTCTTGAGTTCCGCACCGGTGGGAGAAGATGTGTTTTTGAACACAGTGTGAGGCACCTCAATTTTTAGTTGTTGTTATGTTGTTGTTATATGTTGTTATATACACTGCTTGGGCCGCTGCCATGTGTGTTCCCTGCAATTTGTGTCTCCATTTGTTACAAGGGGCAGATCTTTGGCACTTAGCCAGGCCTTGCCTAGCTGAAGAAAGTAGCACAAGAGAAGATCACGTGCTAAGGGACCTGATGAAGATCCAGATTCTCGGCCAGGGATGAGGGAATGCTGCTGCTGGTTTGTTTATCCATCCGATCTTCAGATGCTGGTCATGGAGCCAATCCTGCTGAATAGAGGGCCTCCAGCAAAAGGATTGAACATTTATGATTAAGCATCTAACATCCATAAAATGCGCCATGTCATTCCTACAGTTGTTAGAGTAACCCAAAACTTAAGAGTTGACGTTCAAGCTGGAGTATTTGACTGTGCTTGTTTTCGTTGCGAGAGAAGAGCTTGGTTTGACTATATAGCGGCCCCTCTTGCCGGGACAATCAAAGCTTAGTGGAATGGTTCTCCGACATTCTTTGACGCATGTTTTTTTCAAGCGGGACTTGGCATGAACCTGTATCCCACGACTCAAGATGGACAGACAAGGCCTGTACTTGCCACGAAAAGCGGTTCCCATCCATCACGGCCCTGGAACACTACAACATTGCAAATAAAATGATGAAGCGACCATGGACGTTTCCCCGCCATTCCAAATGGAGTTTTGGACCGTTTGACCTACACCTAAGTAGCAAAAAACACTCCATATATGGACTCCATGGACTTGGAATCATATACCTACATGGATTCCGAAATCGATCACCCCAACTCATTTGGAGTCATATGTTTGTCCATGTTTGAGTGTGACTCCTGTCCTGGCAAAGAGTCATGTGAAGACAGCAAATTGAGGCAGGCCAGCCAATCCTTGCCCGTCGCCGAGAGCTTAGAGTTTGTAGTGTCAGAACTTCTTCCGATGTCTTTGCTGCACGAAGATTGGGTGAATTTTGGGTGTGGCGAAGTTCTGAGATCATGAGCCTCACGGACACCAAGATCTTCCCTCCACTGGTCGCGGAAGGGAGCCCCGTGCCCAGTCAGCATGTGAGCAACTGCGACTCACGACCTTGAGTCTTGATTGGTCGAGCTGGGTAGAGCTGGAGATGATACTACTTGTTCTTATAAGTTGATCTCAAGGGCTTTTGTAAGGGCGTGTTCTGGAATCTAGCTGCTAAGTAGTTGGTTGAATTTAAGCAAGCAGATTCGGTGCGTTGTGCACCCATGCTTGCTAGGCTGCTAGGCCTGGGTATCTTCGGATATGCTTTAAAGGCCCTTTGTCTAAGAAGTCCAACAGCTCAGGCACTGGAAAGTCAGCTGGTGCAAGATGAGCTCTAGCCTCAGTCCGCGCACCTTCAATGAGCACATCGGTCATGATAGCTGGAACATCCTGGAACTATCTCGTTCGGGTCCCAACCAGCAGAGCGAGAAACGATGCTTCAAAAACCCTCCAGTTGCCATCATTCACTATACACCCATACGCACCCATATCCAGTCTCCCAAAAACGAATCGGGTTCTATCCGTGGGGTTTAGGGTTTGGAAGGTAGTAAGAGTCCTGCCAGTGGGAATTGAAAGAGACTGGTCCTGTTTCACAGCAGGATTTGGTGGCCTATAGTAGGTTGTCAGCAGTTCGTGGTTCCAAAGACAGTGTTTACTGTCCTGGTGACCACTGGGCCATTCTTTGAATGCGAATCCATATAGGGAGGGGTAAAGACTCAAGCACTACGATGGACTATGATGGACCTATACCCAGACACTCCATGGGACTGGAATATCTGCCTACATTGACCCCCCTGGCACCACCCCTGGCCGTTTCTCGGCAGTCCTATGGCATGGAGCGTTTGGGATCTATATATATTTTAAAGGGAAAATCCGCCGGCTCTTCACATTCTTGGTTGGCTTTTGAATGTTTGTTGGGTGCATTTCATGGACCGACCCTTTCGTAGACCCGGGAGGCCCTCACAGCTGCTTGGCGCTTCCTTAGTGTGCTTTCGTGGTGGGGCCTTTCCAGACCGCTGAGACCGCTGAGGCTCTCAAAGCTCACGGCGGACCATGAGAACCTGATCCGCTCCTTGGATGAAACCGCCAAAGGACCTAGTGAAGGACCTTGGGAACTCGAGGACACCGCGGATCAGGACGAACTCGTCCTCGGAACCGCCGCGGATGGTGCAGGGCTAGTCACCAAATCACCGAATGGGGCTAGTCATGGAACACCCGGAAGCCGTGGTGCTGGTTTTGGTTCTATCAGTTCAGTTTGTTTGTGGACCAGATGCTGGAATCTGGTGACAGTTAGAGAATCCTCGAACGCATGCCCAGACACTCCATGGGACTGCCATATATGCCGATCAGTTGGGGTGGTTTGGGGGTCAATGTAGGCACATATGGCATACTTGGAGTGCTTGGGATGGCTAAGATTTATCGGGCTCCCCCAAATTGTCCAAGATCAGGTTGCTTCGAGCACTAATTGAAAACCTGACCAACTCTTGATCTCTAGAAAAGCAGAACACTGGGGGATGATGGGACATGGTGGGACTAGTCAAGACAAAAAGATGCAACAAGTTGGATGGTTGGGTGGCTCTTCTGAAGATTGTTTCCTCGGTTTGGGTGGTGCTTTCAGATACTTTCAGATATTTCTGATGTTCCTTTAATTCCTATATATAGATTGATCCATGTTGATCCCACTGACTCACCTTTGTTCTTGTCATCTTCGTCGAAACCCAACCCTGAGAACCTTCCAGCCACCTTCCACCTTCCATCCGACCACTCCTGCGGCCGTCCGGCTCGTCCTCGTTTGGGTCCGGCCTGGGTGCTCCTCGAGGCCTGGGCGTGAACTTCCGGCAGTTCGATCCCCGAGGAAAGGAAGCCTTCTTAGATCAGCTCGAGATGATCCAGGAGCCCGACACTGGTGCCCTGGACTCCTGACCACCTGACCCACGAACTTGTGGGGTGTCCCAAGAATGGGAGGCTTGCACCATCTTGCACCAACAGTACTTGTATGATAGGATTGCGTAAATTGGGAAGCCGATGGAAACAGTAGCTCAGGACAAGCCCCCAAATGTTCCCACGGGTCTCTTTGGAAGCTCTTAAGACACCTGTGGAGTGACCTCCCAGAAAGATCACATCAAATCATCAACCAGGACCCTCCTGTCGGGGTGTCCTGGCTGGACTACCCCACACTACCGGCCTAGGCTTCCAGACAGGGCACCCCGACAGGAGGGTCCTGGAAGCTTCCTTCTTTGGTGTTCACATTCTACTCGTCCATGACGCTTGACCCGCCCTGTGCAGCCGGACCCGCGCCATCCACCTGCAGCTTCGCAGAACAAAGCCCCTTTCGGATCCGACCCAGGAGCGTTGGCGCGTTTTCATCACACGGTTCCAGCTGATGGGCGTCTCTTGGGTTGAAGGAGGCCTCGTTGTCAGGAAGGAAGACTGAGAGGGTGGAGTGGATGAGGGTGGAGCGGATGATGGAGCGGATCCGCCATGTTCCCCCTGGAAGATGAACATGCAACCTGAAAAACCACTGGTTTGTGGAGGATGCTAGCCTTCCAAAGATCCATTTTCAGGATCCATGTTATATAATCTTCCTGGGTGTAAAGCCAGGCCAAGGCACTTCATATCTACCCATCAGCTGAGCCTGGTTCTGCTTAGGGTGAATCCCCCCGTACCTGGGGAAGATGTATTCTTTGTTTTCCCGGCTTCCTGAACAGCAAATCCAAGTGAGAGGCGATTGGGACAAGCGACTGAACAGTTGATGTTGATGTGTCGAAGCCTCACCCATCATTGCACTGCAGCTACAGACTGGAGCCGCTGGGCCATGTGCAAGAGGAACAAGAGGAACCCCTTTCACCTCGCCTGCGCATATGCATGTCAGTTGTCCACTCATTTGTCCGAAGGCTTGAGCTATTGATTCCTTCCCAGGAAGTCAGTGGATCGGCTTCTGCCAAATCGGTTTGGGGGATGAGGGACCCGAAACCCTCAAAGTCCACCCGGTAAGTTCGGGTTGAGTCCCAGTAAAGCCTGGTCCTTCACCTCATGGAGTAGTGTGTATGTGTAGCAGCTCCAGTCAAAATGAGGTCCAGCTGACCTGTAGAGGCTGTAGAGGTGTTATTTTCCGGGGAAATTGAGATAGTGAGCCTTGGAGCCCGGAGTTGCAAATAATGTCCAAGAAGTTTGGCAGGCTGGAGGATCTTTGCTTCAGGGATGTTCAGGGTGCCACCAGTCTTGGGTAATAAAGTGAGGTGCCACATCCGGACATCGCCACAAGTTCGTGAGCTGATGATGGACTACGGAAGCCTTGGGGAACTGGGGGGGGGGGGGCGAAATTTTAGGTCAACTTCTGAAGGAAACCAACTGGTGGAAGCCAGTCTAAGGACTTGAACCCGGAGTTCATTCAAACCTCACAGCAGTACTTGATGCAAGCAGCTCGGGCATGGAAACGTCGCGTTTGGTGGGGCTAGGGCACTAGGTCCTAGGTATGAGGCTCGCAGCAAAAGACACAAGTTTGCTCTTGGATGGAAGTTCGACAATGTTTATCATGGCACCATGCATTCTGCCTGGTGGTCACCTTGCATCTGAGTTGCTCCTTGGGGGACCGTAAGTGCTTGTAGCAGCCTTGCATGTGACGGGTCTATCATGATTCAATGTTTTAAGCTCCTGGGACCCTTGGGTTGCCCAATGGCCTCAAATGGCACCCATTTTTGGTTTGGGTAGGAGGGTAGGGGTGGGGGAACATGGTGGCTGATTCACCAGCGGGGCTGAAACCACGCGACTGAGGTGGGGATGACCATTGAGCAGTACAACACGTTGATGGCCAATGTGCACCAGAGGATGAGAGACGAAGTGCAACGGGAAGCGCTGCAGAGATAAAACAGAACAAAAGACGCGACCTCCTCGACGTTTTCGATCGTTTTCGGCTCCCTGTGGATGGAAGCGGTTGGATTGAGACCTGACCTGGGGCGATGCACCAAGAGGTGTGGAGTCTGGAGTTTATATAGACGCCGATGCCCCCCCCCAAAAAAGCATCTTTGCGCTCACAGCACATGGAGAGGTTGAACAGCTCTAAGGCCACCTATCCCATATGTATCACTACAAGATTCCATCAGTTGACTCCACCATGTAAGCCCCCCCACGATAGCCCATATATCAACTTAAACCATATCATATTATGCTGAATATCGTGGATCAACTTGAATCCATATATCGTTGAGTCCACCCCCATGTATATGCTGGATCAACTTGATGGAACATATGGTGGATTCGATGTCACCACGTTCTCATGGATTTTCCGATCCCAGACCTCCACTCCCCGCTCCCGCCGACGAAAAACATGAAATGGTTTGGGGGTGGTGAGTATGTGGGGCCACCCTGAGGCGTTTGGAAGAGTCTACTGCTACCGGGGGCCCCCAGGTCTTGTTCAACCCGTCTGCCTGGCTCCAGGTCCTGGAGATGGCGCTCCATGTGCTGACCATGAACGGCATTCGCTTCACCGCCGACGAGCGCGGGTGCCCGATGGAGGGTGGGAGAGCCGAAGTCGTTTTCAGTGTGGGGGAGGCCACTGGAAGGGGCGGCATGTGTCTGTGATGACCCTGGAGCTGGGCAGGGGCGTCAATGGGAAGCTAGCGTAGAAGATCCCCCTATCTAGTGTAGAAGATCCCCCTATCTGATTCGTTGGATGGTCCTCACAAGTAGATCGGAACAGTGAAGCTCCAACATCATGGCAGATAGAACAGAGAACCCCCTGCCAGATGGAACATCATGGTGGATAGTGTATGTGTGTGTGTGTGTGTGTTGTATTGCAAGTTGTGCTGTTCTTTGTTGTTGGATGTTTGGGCAGATAAGAAGGATGATTTGGGCGGTCCTTTGTAGTTCTTGCAATGTTTTTCACGTGCCAAATACCCTCCACAAAGAATGTCAGCTGTCCAGACTCCGACAGGCCTGGGGTCAACGGCTTGTCTTCCCAAGCACCATACAAAGAAACATATTAATCTTGGAAATATTCTACCAGGACCCCCAGTCGGGGTGGTTAATGGACACCCCTTGGAGGGTCCTGGTAGGTTCTAGATAGCTTGCCTGCCTGGGGCCTACGCTACGCTACGTATCCATATCAATTCCCTTCCCAAGCACTCCTTGGGGGCCTAAATAATGGTTGAGAGTAGATGGCACAATCCCCCCAAGTGTGTTTGGTGTCCATGGACCCCCATCTAAAAGACATCTTGGGGTGCCAGTGCCACTTGATTGCCCTAGGGCTCCTGGCCTACCTCCTGAGAAGATGGTTATGGTGGGTGCCAGGGGGGTCTAACCACCGAACCTGAGGAAGTTGGAGCCCTAGGGTTCATACTATGAAACCACTGTAGTGCTGGCACTTCCTTTCCAACCAGCCCCAGCAGCCGCCCCAGCAGCCGCCCCTGGGCCGCCCGTTCACCCGAGCGGCTGAGGATCTCGGAGTTGGTTCAGACGGAGGAAGAGGTGATGATGTACGAAGTGGTGGATCGCATCCCCGAGAGTGGCACGGATGCAGTCAGGTGGCCGAAGGTCCTGTGAATGGCATGGTGAGTCATTTGCGTCTCTGTTTCTCTTCTGGGCATAGGGCTGCTCCATCAAATCCAGGAGCTGACCAAGTCGAAAGATCTTGGATCTTGAGAACTGATTAGGGCCCGATGGGCTCCTGGCCTACCTCCGTTTCGAAGATGGTTATGATGGGTGCCAGAGGGGTCGAATACCCACCGAACCTGAGGATATGGGACAGGAGCACCCTCTTGAAGTCCACCGAAGCCATACTCCAGCGATTTCGCAAGGCGCCCTTTTGCCATGCCTTTGTCGTTCTGCCGAGGTCTTCGGGAGGGCTTTGAGCATCTCACTTTGGAACTCCTTGTGGTGGTGACCACTGCTTCGCGCATGAGGATGGGACTTTTGTTTGGAGATCGTCGTTGGAACTTGTTTGAAAGCCCCACGGATGTGATGGCACAACGGCGTGCCGTGGTGGCGGCACGATGGGGGTGTTGCGTAGGTCCGCTACGGATGGGATATGGGCTTTGCTGGTGGAGACTCAGCACAAAAAAGTAACAAATTCAAAGAATTGCAAAACCTTCAAAGTCATGAATACACTGGATCGGGTTTCTAACCAAACCTGGACGCGTTCCAAGCAATCCGCCAGGACCACCGTGGAGAACAATGAGGCGGAGCCCATCCAGGCGGTTGAGAAGATGGGAGTCTTGCGGGGTTTGGGGTCATTGGGAGAGTGGTTCTTGTGATGAAAGAGGTGTTTCCTGAGTTTCCGGCCAAATCAGCCTGTTGGATGTCCCTGAACCCCATTGAACCCCTCAAAATCAACCCCACTTCACTCCGTGACATGTCCTAAATCAATCATCGGAATCGTTTGGTTGATTCGATTTCATCATTGTTTCCCCCAAGGCTATTCCGCAAAGACATGCTTGCCAAGACTTGTGGGACTTGGAGATTCAACGTGCCCTTTCTCCGTACCTTGTGCATTCAAGGAACTTTGGGACTGGACCTATGACGTGTTCACCTGACCAGTTTCACACAGACCTAGAACTTCAAGGGCTGTCCTGGACATGGAGATCCCTAAGTAGTGCGCTGGGGCTTCCACTCTTCCATTGGTGATTGCTTTGAAGGTGCTGGGATGAATGGACAAACTGTGACAAACTGACCTCTGGGCCTGGGAAGGGTTTTCTTTGTCCCTAGGGATCCACTGGCACCTACTCAGGTACGGTGAGGACGGAGACTGTTTATGTAGGCGCCAGGAGGGCCCAGTCGTACCTCCTGAGAAGGTGGCAGTGGATCCCTAGGGTGTGTGACTCCTTTGACAACACTATTATTGCATCATCCTGTATTCGGATGTAGCATTATAGCATATGGAAAAACCGTATCATGGTATGTCCGTTGGCCTATCCGTCTGGCCAAGAATTCGCACCCGTTCTATCCATTCGATGAAAACACATCAATCCCAGACGCTCCACTGCCTTGCGAATGACCGTGGTGCCCTTGAACTGTGTGCAAACCTGGTGACGGCCAGTGAGGGCCAAAGCATGCATGGGGCACACTCCTTGAACTCATCATGGGTTAGTGGAGTGAAAACCATTTGTCAAGTGTGTTATTGAGGGCATGGTCTTCCGGAATCGACCACTTCCAGGAGTCTGTCGATCACGGAGTGTAACCCAGGAAAGGCCCCACTCTCTCGCAGTTTCCTTTCAGCTCAGTCACCCGACCACCAGCCCGCGGTAGTGGCACCAGCACAGAGCTCGTGCTCATGGGCCGTTCTTCAACAATGATGCTGTTCTTCAAGCTCCTGTCCCTGGCTGCAGCGGAAGCTGAGACAGATAACCAGATTGGTTGTAACCTTTGTGTCCCATGCTATGCTCCATTACAGAAGCGTAAGGGTCGAGGACCATCCGTTGCTCGGATGCCCTGCCAGGCCCCAGGCAACGACCCTTCTTGGGAAGTACGTGATATATCACCTACAAGGCTCTCCTCGTGAGGCGTGAGGTATATATGGCCCCTATGAGAAAAGCACAAGAGTCCCACCTTCCAGGAGTCACCGAGCTCGGGGTGGTTTCTAGTCCCATCCAGTGAGGGGATGTTCTGGGGGCCATGCCTATCCTCCAAGTGCACCGACCTGCGACTCTGGTTCACCCCTAGGGCTCCTGGCCTACCTCCGTTTCGAAGATGGTTATGGTGGGTGGATGTGGGTGGCAGGGGGGTCTAACCACCGAACCTGAGGATATGGTTGGAGCCCAAACGGGCACCAACGGTTGCTTGGAATTCCTGGCCACAACCGAGGACGTGTGGAGAGGCGAGCCCATCCGGCTGTCCAGTACTTTGGGCCTCCGGCGACGCGTGATCGGTGACGACCGGTGACGACGACCAGAGGGACCGAGTCGGACCGAGGCCACTCTTTGGGGGTCTAAGCTGGTGTGACCTGGGAGCCGGCAGGAGCTGGGGTATCCTTATTCCCCTTGAAAGGGGGAGCCGAGGAAGTGGGAGTTCCCTAAACCACTTGTTGTAGAAGATCTTTCAACCTTCAAGAGGAGTAAGGACAGGGCATTGCCTTCAAGGCGACTTCATGTGGCCTTGTTCTGGACAAGACAGCATCCGTTTTGAGGAAGGAGCTTGCTTTATAGGCGTCCCTTGTTGGCCTTGACTTGACCCAGGTCTTGGCTTTATAGGCCCAGGCCTTGGTATCCAGCCCCGCCCTTGGACTAGGGCCTTGGCTCCAAGGCTTCTATGACTACGAAATCGGCTACGAGCGCCACGATCTCACGTGCACGCCCCCCGCGCGGATCGAATGCCAAGAGCAGTGCTGTGATTGGTCCCTTCGGCGGCAGCTCCTTGGGCTCCGATGCGCGACCGCCACGTCGCTCAATGCCCAGTCCTCGAGTTAGCTGTTAGCTAACAAACATGTCGTCCCAAACACTGCATGTGTGACATATTTACACATCGGGGGGTGGCTTCAGGCTGCAGGGGTCCATTTTAGGTACATGTTTTGTACACATGGAGTGTTTGGGTCTGATCTTTTTTGGGGGGTCTTTAGCTGCCACTTCCAGGATATCAACTAACAAGTGATGTTTGAGCTGCCCACTTTCCAACAAGCAGGAATGCAGAGATCTAAAATAAGCTTCTTTGACTCGCAATGTGCAAGTTGTTTTTGGGCAGGAACAACTACCAGGTTGCTTCCTCACTGCTTCCTTCCGGAAGTCCTTCAGTGGCATGGCCACCACTCTTGCAGGTGGGGGCACCACCTCCCCAAAGTCCCCAAAATGGGGGCACCACCTCCCCAAAGTCCCCAAAACGTGGGATGTCCTGTCACCTGTCCTTGAGAATGTCCTGCTTGCTGGTTAGGCCGAGCACTCGGCACCTTCAGCTCGTTCGAACCCCAATCGTCCCCAGGAACTTCCGATGCACTGACATCTCCGTCAAGTTTTACCCAGCTTCCTCCCACTGCTGAGCCTCGGGTCGCAGCGGTCAGCGCAGTCAGCGTTCCAGTCCTGGCCCATGCAGCGCCACTGTTTCAACAGACTCGTCGACCCCAAAAAGGCATACGGAGCCAGACTCTTAGACCCCGAAAGGAAGCCTTTTTTGGTGGTGGAAAAACCGAAGTCAACTCAACCATGCACCTTGTTGCATCGTGCGTCATCCACCACATCAAACGGACAGTTTGACTTTATAGTCCCATAGTATATCCGCAAGAAATTCATCGCAGTAAAATCGGAATTGGACCCATCCGGATCCGGGTTTGACTTCTCACTTGTGAACCTCACCAACCCAATGCTTCCGGAAATCCAATGCAACAACTGCTCACTGCGTCCATCAGCCTCCAGGTCACTGTGACGAGACACCGGGCGTCACACGCCACAAGATGTGCTGCAGCTGCGTAGCGCCGGAAGCTCCCATCACCGCGCCCCCACGGGAAGGCGGTGTGGCATGGGTTGAGGGGGGGGTTTTAGCGCATTTGAGCGCCTGGGTGAGCTGAAGGTTTTTGGAAATCCTATCTGGAGCAAGAAGATCATGAATGGAAATCAAAGGACCTGATAAAATGTGTTCTTTGCTGGATTTTCAAGAGCAAGACCAATGTGCTTAAGAGTTGAGGGATGGTCATGGCCACAAAAACAATCAAGCCAACAACCAGAATCAGAGGGGTAGAGGGAGGCATCTTCTTGGCCGCTCGGCCGACTGCAATTACAGGTTCTCACGCTTGAACAACACCGCCAGGAGTGATGAGCGGCAGCTGGCAGAAGATCAGCTGTCCAAGTGGCATGGTTCTCTCCGAACCGCTCACCTTGTGCCACTGGGCATATACTTCAGGAGTCGAGGCTGCTCTACACACGACATGACTACACATCACATGGTGGTGGTTACGTGGAAGAACTGATGGTCCCGAGTTCAGAAGACGACTGTCCTGTACAAACAGGGGTGAACTCCACTTCCATGTTAGTGAGTTGGAGTGTGACTAAGAGTATCATACCATTTTGACATTGCTTAGATAAGGTCAGGTCAACATCAGTCAACAAGATGATTCAATCCCGCGCCACCCGACGGTTGTTCAGAATTGTCCAAGATGCCAAGAGATGTTTTCTTTTGTTTTCCAGTCCCATGATCCACCATAAACTTTGACTTCAGATTGACCATCTCCGACTCCATCGCAGGTGGTCGGTACTCGGGTTGCGGTCCTGAGAACTACTCCTGGAGCACCCGCTCTTATTGCTCCTCCACGTGCCGTGCTTAAAATGAGAAGATGTGTGCCGTCAGTATGTATGCTCATGACAGGTCAGGGAATGAAAACACGGAAAATACGACGACTGCACAGTCACATGGATGTTAACAAGACTTTGAGTAGGGATTACAAGTAACCCGATCAGAGACTTGGTTCACATATATGTTGTTGCTGATATTTTTCACGCGTAGACATTGTGACAGGGAAGAATGATCGTGTTATATGATCAATTATGATCGATTATGATTGCATCATTACATCCATTTGGCCCGGATCGATTCAAGAACGGAACCAAGCAAGTCTGACTTGCTTCAACATTTGTGCTGCAGTTGCAGGATGCTACGCCCAATGGGTACCTGTGTTGTTTTTTTTTTTTTTTCTGGTGTGTTTTGGAATGAATAGGCGGATCATGAAAGATCTGAGGATCATGAAGGAATCACGAAGGATCCAAAGCCTTTCCTGAGAGTTGTTTGGTTTGGGGCCTGGTTGGAGTTGATGGTTGGATAGTTATTTGTTTTCAACAGCTTTTGAGGTTAGATTAGATCTTTTCATTTTAGGGTTCACCTTCCCAAGACTCCGGGTTGCTCGACTGCGCCGACTGCTTGTGTCCTGGGAGAACAGACCGCTGTCCAATCCGAGGTGCGCTACTTCCTATGGTGACTGCGATTCTGAAGCAGTTGCTGGGCCCGACAATGGCGCGGCGTTGGATTTTGGGCGACTGGAACTTGAGATGATTGGTAGAACACCATAAATCCCTACTGGGAACAATTCTACTAATTAGTATGGCGTAGGCGACTGGTGTTCTACTGGGCCCGACAATGGCGCGGCATTTGAGGGATTTTCGGCGACTGGAACTTGAGCTGTTTGCACCCTAGGGCTGATGTCGGGAGCATAGGCCCCCGAATCATGCACAGACGTCGGTGGGGACTCCATCAAAGCCTGAGTTGATTCTTGTAAACAAGAGGATTGTGGGAGTTCAATTAAGGGTGTGACAGACATATTGCTATATGTCACAAAGATAGGAGTTTGGACATGTGTTTGGACCAACACATGCATGTGATGTTTTGAACATACCTGTTCACTAGAAGTAGCTACAGTCATCCAAAGGCTCCGGACGCTGTGCCTTTCTCGCACTGCCTCAAGGTGTGCCAGACTTGCCACTTGGAAGCTGGTAAAGAGAAAGGTTTTTGATCGGTCGAGCCCCCAAGCGGAGCAGAAAGAAGACATGGGAAGAATGGGCTGGACTGAGTACATGGATTGGAGGAGTACATCTAATGAATCAACTTGGGAACATGGAATGGGAGTTGGGAGCAGTATGAGTGATTGGAGGAGTACATCTAATGAAATGGGCTGAGTACACCCCCCCCTTGGCGGTGAAATCAACTTGTGACAACCTTTCACATGAGCTCAGCTCATGTGTTTCCTCATGGCGTGTCATGGTGTGACGGTGTGACTTCCTCACACAACTTAGCAATATATACAGGATAGTTCCATTGGCCATCCAGCTTGGACGCACTCGCACTGCTTGTAGTGTCGGTGTAGCACTTGGCCTGCTTTAGATTTTTGGTGTATATCTTTACAAAGAGAGAGGGAGCAGAAGGCAGAAGGCAGCAAGTGTGTAGGTGGGTGTGGAGGGGGTGATGCTGGAAGATGGGCCGTGGACGATTAATCAGAGAGAGGAGTGGATGGGGGTAAGGTGGTCAAGCCCCGGTACCACTTAAGTATTTGGGGGTTCTATTCTATATGATCTCAGTTTCCCTAGGGCTCCTGTCCCATCTCCTCAGGTTCGGCGGTTAGACCCCCCTGGCACCCACCCCTGTCCCATCTTCGAAACGGAGGTGGGTCAGGAGCCCAAACGGGTTTCTAGCTTTGAAACAGTTCCCCTTCATTCATCCCTGGGATCCACCGGGAAATCCTTTCATCTGAGGCATTCCTACGGGCACCGTCAGCGCCAGCACCACCACCACGACACGGCCATCCTTTCCCTACGGCGCGTCAGAGACCTGTCCTGACAAGCCCACGACCACCACGACCACGCCCAACCCGCCGCTTGGCTTGGCGGCTTCGCGTTCGCTTGGTTCAAGGACCTGCCAAGTCAGCACAAGCCAAGCGTCAGCTTACAGCTTGTAGTTCCCATTGTGATGAATCACGTCCCGCAATGGTCCACAAAAAGCAAAAAAAACGAAGCGTGTGGGGGAAAACGATGTTGAATTTGAAGAGGGGCTCCTGAAAGATACCTGGGACCTGATAGGTATGTCACTTGGATCCCTATAAGGTCCACAGACCCGGTTCATAGCCCTGTTTTTTGCCGGGGGGGTCCTTGACAGTCCTTCAGTCGTGTTTTTGTATGGGTGTGTTGTATGTATTCTATGTATTCTATGGCAATAGGCTTGGGTCCCCCCAAGATGAATCAGATGAATCATTAGCAGACCATCGAACAAGCAGACCATCGAACAAGCGGCCATGTTTTCTTGAGGTACTGACCTGCTTGAGGGTACAAGGGATGATATGAGATCCTATCCGGAAACCTGTATATGGGCCTATGGTTTTGGTCCTTGAGCAGCTTGAAAACTTAAACAACTTGATCTGCACCATAGGAACAAGAACGCTACTAGGAGCAAGGGCATCGCTACTAGGGGCTCCTGGCCTCACTACGAACGGAGCATTCTTAAACTTGGTTTGAACAACTTGATCTGCACAACTTGGTGCATGGACATCTCAAAGGTGAACGCGGCCCATTGGCCCCGGGACCTCGGACCAGTGGGGGGTGCATGACTTTCATGTGCCACGACCCCGTGAAGGAGCGCCAGGGACTGGGACTACAAGCTTATACTCTTTCATTATCCTTCATGGGGATGTTGTATATACTGTATATAGTTATTGATGAACGAAGCATGGATGTAAAAGCACCAGTTGTCATGGACCCCTGGCAATCCATAGGAATCCATTGAAAAAGACTCTAAGCATCCATAACAATCATTTTTTAATGTGCATGGGTTGAAGAAGCACAGAGATTCAGCAGGTCAAAAGCCTTGAACAGGATCCATGTTTGAAATCCGTGACATCCGTTAACTCAGATCCCGAAAGCTCAGACGAGACCCAACCCATTCGCGGTCTGTGCTTTTGACCGAACCAACACGCTAGGGGTTACGGACCGAACCAACATGTCCCACACACATCCAGACTCCATGTATGACATATTTACCAAGGTCGGTATACGGTATATCTTCATACATGGAGTTTCTGGGTTCGCGTTTGAAGTCTCCATGAGCCTTCTGGGATCAACAGTCTTCATCAGTACCCTATCCTCCAGGTATGGCACACGGCGATGGGAGCAAGTGGGCATCGCGAATCGCTCCGCGTGCCGGGGTAAGAACGTCAATGACAACAACCAGAGCTACTACACCGACGCTTGCCTGAAGAATGAGGCTTACAAGACCATTTTAAACATGGTTGACCTGGTTGTGTAGTGTATAACCCCAAGTCCAAAGGGCATGGTGGTTGGTAAAGGCTATTAACTGAATGGTTATTGGAATCCTATAGGGTGAAGAATGCAGGCATGTCGTTTCACATCAACACACGGCTTTACCCATTTTACCCGCGTCACATGTGGTAGGAACTTCGGCTGGCGCCAGTCGAGTGTTCTGAATTCATGTTCAGACGTCAGCTGCTCGAAAAACCTATCAGCTCGGTGTCCGCGAATCGTGCTTTCTTCCAGGTCCGTGCTGCTCAGAGCTTGGAGGATTGCCAAGAGCTTTGCAGGGCAGACTTCCCCAGGTGTAAGGCCACAGGGCCACCGGACGCGGAATAGCGACGATGCTCATTGGACGGCGGGTGTTTGTTTGGATCCGAATCCGGATGGAAAGAGAAGCAGCGTGGACTGAACCTGGTGTTTTGATGTTAAAGAACACAATTGGAAGGCTGGCACCCGCAGCAATCATAAGGTGGACATTTGGGAGTTTGGACTGAGTCGGATGGAATTGGTCAGTGGATGAGGAGATCGTGTTTTTGGGTGTGGACGGGCACTTGGTAGTGGCCGCCAGGCCTTGGCGGCACTGCCGCACTTCGAGACGGTGGTCAAACACTGCTGATGCCTCTGCACCCCATTCGATGTAGGTATGCTTGGCATGAAACCACTCGTTTTCTCTTTCACCTCGGTTTTTTCTTTGTGCATGTCCACCCGGGCAGAACACCGCCACCCGGGTGGAACACCGCCACCCAGAGGTTTAATGGGAGTCTCCCTATTCCTTCTACGCAGCCATACCCAGACACTCCATGGGACTTGCATAGTTACTTACTTACATTTATCCCATGTTCAACCACCTCAACAGTCCCATGGAGTGTTTGGGTTACTCGTAGTATATGACGGGTCCCATAGATTTATTCCCTGGAATCATTTGGAACTCTGCTTTGCATACTAGGATGTCCGCAAGTATTGTCAGACTAGAAGCTTGGAAGTCATCCCATGGAGTGTTTGGGATATATATATATTAATATATACACCTAGTGTTTTGGATCCCAAACAGGGGTCAATCAGGTTCTAGGTATATATACATATGTTTGGTTTGATCCTGTTTGATCCTTTAAAATATCCAGCCTCCGCTCAGGGCATCGAATACAGCAAGGGACGCTGTGAACTGTGGACGAGGGTGGATGGAATCTTCATCGCGAAGGAGCTGAATGGCTTCACTTGCTGCTCAGCTGAGTGACGTTCGGTGACGGGCTTCAGGTCACTACGGGTCGAACCCAGAATGGAAAGAGGAATTGGGAACGGGTTGGAACATCTTCCAGTGTCTCATGTAGGGTACGGGTTGGTACACATTACATATTATGTGTATATTAATAAGCACATTCACACATATTGTATATAACACTTTAACAACATACATATGTGTCATCATTTGCTTTCCCCTAGCTCCGGCTAGCTCCTGAGATGTGCTTGGGATGGATCTGGGTGTCTTAGGGCCCTAGGGTTGGTCAGTAGCAATTACAGATTGGATTCGTTTTTGAGAGACGATATGTGGATCATGGCACCCGGAGCCCTGTGCACCCTGGTAGGTTCACCTCGCTGATAGTCCATTCTGCGCATTCTCGGTGGGTCCGGCCTGGTTTTGATCCACGGCCATATGCAGGTGTCCCAAGAGCTGCTTCTTCGTCCTCCAACTTCGAAAAAAGAACCTTCGACCGAGGCATGCGCTTTGGCTGGCAGACCCGCGCCCTGTTCCGCTTTGGGGGCGAAGCCGCGTGCCGCGGCAAGGGCTCCACCTATTTGGTGAAGGTCGCCCATTCCGTGGAGGACCAGGGCAGGGAGGGCGTAAAGGTGCGGAGCATCGATTGAGCTATCCCGTTAGGGCTCCTGTCCCACATCCCCAGGTTCGGTGGTTGGGGTGGGTGCCAGGGGGGTCTAACCACCTGAGGATATGGGACAGGAGCCCCAGGGTATATTCATGTTATCTCCTATTATCTACGTAGGCATCTAGATGTCTTCTGTCTACACACAAAGCGCAACAGTTGGGGAACGGACTGAAATTCTGAACGCGGTCGGTGGTACTCAAGTTTTGTCCTCCTGAAGTGTGTTTATTTCTACCTGCAGTTGGTGTCATGCTTTGTTTTTGTGCCTCCACATCAAAGCCATTGACCTTCTGGGGGCCCCCCTGTACTCAAACGATCTCAAACGGCCCCCATTGCGCAAGAAGCAAGAACAATGTTGTTCTTGGTCAGATGTTTGATGATGTTGAGGCGACCGTTGGAAAAGGGTTTCTTCATGCTCTTCCGGTTTTTGTGTTGATTCAGTGTGCTGCAATGTGGCAAGGCAAATATCAAACTATAGGAATCCATTTGAGTTCGTTTGCTGGAGGTAACTTTCATCAACTTTACAGTAACAGTAGTAATAGTATGACTTTTTATTTTGCCACGTACCGGAGTGGCCCCAAAATAGATCAAATATGCCCGTGCATGTCAAGTCATGAAACGATTAGTTTTGTTGGGTACCACTTTTGAATGGGGCAGTTCATTAGATCCCTTAGGGTGGGTTTGGAAGGTGTAACTACACACCTGAACGCTCCACAGTACGCTAGAAAATGGGACATGACCCTGCTACAAAATAACAGGTACTTGTACTCAATTGGAAAATGAGGTACAAACAGGTCGACTCCAGGTGTGATGCTTTTGTTGAATCCTCGTGTACCCAGACACTGCTTCCCTCGTGGTACCCCACACTGCTGGCACCAGGAGTGCAAGGCTCAATGTTCAGCGGCGGATCTTTGCACCGGCATCGAGTTCAGCATGGGTCGCTGTGAAATTTGGCAATCACCCATTGAATTCTACGCTTCTTGGCCAAGTTATACCCTGTCAACATCGATCAAACCGGACAACGTCTTGAGGTGCAACAACTTCACAAAGACTCAGAACCGATATATATATATATATATATAGTTAGGTGTTTAGACTCAGGAAAAAAGAATTGAGCTCTCTTGTCAGTCTTCGTCTTCCTTTGGAATCGAAAGGCGTCTTCGTCGGGTGGGGTCTTCCATCCGACCGTCCGCGGCACCCGCTGAGGTCTTCCGGAGCGGCTTTGCCTGCTTCCGCCCCTCGGCGGGCCACCGACCTGGTGACGAGGCTTTTCCCCACCAAGGCTTGATCAGCTTGGAATGGGCGGATCGGATGATTTGTGGTGAAGTCCCGGTTGAAATTGGGTGAATTCCCGGTAAGTACCTGGGAAAGATGTTGAAACAAGGTTTCCATAGGTTTCCTGGTTTCCTGGGAGCCGCAAATCCAAAGCTACTAGATTGCCTCCTAGACACTGGGTTTATATGGTCCATGATGGTCCTCCTGCGGTGGTTCTGACCGATGCTGCTCCGACTCAGCGCCTCACTCTCAGTGCGAAAGCCACTGTCGCCAAGTCATCATAGGGGGAGCCATAGACTCAGACTTCCCAAGACTTCAAGTCTTATAGGTGCCAGCATGCGATCTGACATGTGCCCAAGCTTTGTGCCTATATGATTGGCTCCAAGCATGAAACGATCACCAAGAGAGGTACCCAGTGACCAGGACCCGGAAAACCTGGGGTACCTATGGGATGGTCGAACTAGGATCCTTCAACCTCTGTTGGCACCCACCTCACCCTCAATGAGTTGGACAGTCTCATGTCGGTGCCCAGACCCGATCACAGACCGATCGAGGGGGGGTGGTGCCGGCCTTGAAGGAAGAAGGTTTTTCCTGCCGCGAAAACGGGTCGCGGTGGCTGAGGATATGACCCGGAAAATCCTGCGCTCCTTTTCCCGTGAAGTGCTCCGGTATATGTGGGTAGAGCTGAAGGAAACGAAGGCACGCTGGATGCATGCGACGGAACCACGGAACTAAGCGTTCAAAAGCCAAGCTCGGCAGCATGATATTTGCACACCTGGGTCTGAGTGTGCAACGTTGCAGGGGATGGAGAACACATGAGACAAGGTATTGATATGAGTTTCTTTGTGAATGAGCTGGTCTAAGTTGGTATGTTGTGGACAGGAGGCCCCATAACAACAAATGTATTAAGCAATCCAAAGAGGTGTTTGCTTGTTTCGAGACTGCATAATAGGTAGAGAATTCATGGGAGGTGTTGCTATCATTTGTTTGGACACGATATGCCAAAGTCTTACTTGCCCCCAAGTTTGGGTGGACTGAGTGGGCTGCGCATGCACCAGTGCTTGCTTCAATTTGGCTGCTAGTGGCTGCATTACAGCTCTTGAAGAAGGCTGCTCCAGCTAGCGGCTTTAGGCACTTGGTTGCTGGATGTTTTCCAGGTCGAATTCAGATGGCAAGGAAGGTGAAGAGGAGTCGAAATTTCACATCTTCCAGATTCCCACCATGCCAAGATGTTTCTTTTAGATCTTGGAGTGGGGAATGGGATATCTTCAGGCACATGCTCATAACTTCACTCCCAGAGTGTGGCTTGCCGCGCCATCTCCTCTAGTTTTCAACACTTTCTTTGCCACCGGGACCTCGCGGGGCGCTTCAAGACGGCCTTCATCGCTGGCGTCAGCGGGCATTTTTTCGGCACGAAGGATGCGACAAGGAGCATCAGCCTCAACTTCTGCCTGCTGTGATAGGGTGCACAGGTCTTTGGTTCCAATGGGCCAGCTTTCAGCAACTGTTTGGATTGTACTTCGCTTGCTGTGGAAGCATGGACCATTTCTTCTTTGGTGACCATTTCCCAACCCATCTAAACCTAGAATCCTAGAAGCTGTGTGACAGCTTTTGCCCAACCACCTCCAGTGACGGCGGTCTCGTATGTTCGACGGCCCCAAGCCCCCCCCAAAAACCTGAAGAAATCGGTGGTAAAACGTCAATCGAGGATGCAGTACTGAAGCAAGTACCTGGGCGGCTGGGTAGGTACACGTCAGTTCGACTGGGTCAGGAACCCTGGAGTTGGTCATACAAAAACTCACGAATTGCTCAAGTTCCGGTGTTCAGAACCAGGAGACTGGACCTGGGTCATGTTCTGGATTTGTAGGGTATACAATAGTAACAACCTGTTGACCTTTCAGCCCCCCCCCAAGGCCTGGCGAGGTAGAAGCGGAGATGGAGCGACGCTTTGATTCATCCAGTCTATATTCCCTACACCTCCAACCATATTCTCAAAAGGTGGTTAGACCCCCTGGCACCCACCATAACCATCTTCAAAACGGAGGTAGGCCAGGAGCCCTAGGGGCTATGACTTTGCTCAGATGGTATTTGCGTGTCCAGTGTATGTCAAGTCCGATCGTGTTTGAACCGTCCTACTTTAACCCCCCACTCCACGGGGGTTCAATTCTGGGATCGTTGCATTGGGCCATCAGTGACTCAGCACCCTATCATGTTGTATAGACCTTTTGAAGAAACATCGCCAGTATGCCGCATATGCCCTTGAGGTGCCAGTTGCATGGTGTGGGTGGTTCTAAGGACAAAGTAGGGGCATGTGGTGAGTTATATAGCATGCAGTTATAGTCTAGTTGCTTGGTTTGCCCGGGCTTTGGAACCACCCACGCAAATGGACTGATCCTTGCGCCGCAACGCCTTTTGCGTCACTCTTTTTACGCTCTTGGGTGACCTGGAAGCAACAATTGCTGGGTGAAATCTGTGCTGGACTTACCTGGTCTCGGTCGAACTCGCTACGTGGACCAGTCGTGCTCGACATGGTGGGTCAGGACGTCGCCCGTACCCACGACCGTGCCCGTAGGTTTCAGGAGGTGGGTGAACAGAGTGAAACTCGAAGCTGCGGAGGTCCGTTTTGACATGACCGAAGCTTATATATCCCTTCTTTCCCGCTGCGGTGCTTAGAAGAACTATATACGTATTCCTGGACCATTAAGTTGTTTGATGATTTGTTTTCTTTCACTGGACTCCGCACTGCTCCTTTGCCCATGCCTCGGGAGCCTTTGGTGGTGTAGAACTTCTACACAACGGAGACGCCGGGGCAATGACCATCCAGCCTAGCTTGTGCCTGGGAAAAGAGGTCGGTATAGACTCCTACAAGACTTCCTGAAAAGTTTGTTTGTGGTGAGTAAGCAACAGAGGTTGAAGAACCCTATAGGCAATCCCCATACGGACCCTGGTAGGGTCCTATAAGTTCACTTAACCTCTGTTGGAAGCTCATGAACATGATGTTCCTGTGCAGGATGTTGTTCAGGTGGAACGGTGGAACAGGGCTTGGAACCCAAGCCCTCGCCAGCTTCGTGGACCAGCGCCAGCGCCCCAAGCCCCGTGACCGAACTTGGGAGCCCCATCCAGTGAGCCTTTAAATAGGCCCGTTTTTGGGACCTCAAGCCAAGGGATCAAGTTAGTTTACTTTGTGTTTTACTCTGAAGAATCAGGTTGTCCAGCGCTTGGAACCGGAGGACAGTGTTTCTTCAAGGTGAGCCTTTTACACCACAGGTGCTGAGGATCAGTCACGTGGGCAGCAAGACTAGAGAGGTCACTGAGGTCAAGAAGCTGGCGTGGTGCGGCGATTTGTCAATGTATTGTAGAACTTATACAATAATTGATTAGAATAATTGATTTTAGAGTATTTTCCTGCGGCGTCATTATAGAATTTTTAATTTTTGATAACCGCCCATCACAATACACATAAATCGATTGTGAATAGCGGGAGTTTGACGCATCAAGAGCCAAACAAAGACTTTTGATACTTCGGACCGTTTTAGACTACTGCAGAGGATTTGTTTAGGTGTTTGCGCATGTGCTGGTGCCTTCGGCTCAAGGTGTGCTGAGCAAGTGCGCACTCGAAGAATACAGCAGCACCTGACTGACTAAGAGACTTCATGATGTCAGCAAATTACAATGGTTGAGCTGTAGAGTCACAGCCGGCACACTGGTTTTCTTTGTTCATGATGCTATAGTGCACTCCTCAGAGTCACTGGCCTTTATTGCCAGGCCCGTTCGTCACATTCCCGCATATTCCCCGCAACTAGCAGGTAGAGTCAGGTAGAGAGAATACCTTCCGGAAAACCCTTGGCCAGCATCTCCCACACGAACTTGTGCACACATGGAACCCAGTCCCCTCACCAATTGACCATGCATACCAGGACACCATGTGGCATTCATTTTCGGGACGCGGCCCGGTCAGCTACTAGGAACAATAGTACGTAACTAAGTGCATCATTACTAGCAACTAAGTGCATTAATAGCTACTAGCAAGAAGCTACTAGCAACAACGACTTGGTTTTCTCCGCATTCTGAAAGCCTCATCGATCGCGGCCGCGGTAGACCTGTCATGAGTATGGAGGACTTGGCTGCCATCACGATGGTGCAACCTGCACCTCCGGCGTGGTTCGACCGGGCCACGGGCCAAAAGACGTGTGCCAAGGTTGGGGGCGCACGCTTCGAAACCAAGGGCGATTGACAGTAGATGGCACTTCTGGAGCCCCCAACATTGGATAGTTTGGATAGTTTGGTGCTTCATATTTCACCCTGTGTACACCCTTAGAGTAAGAAGTAAGAGATCTTGGCACTTCATGCCATCTACTTACTCCTTCGTCGGCGACTTCGGAAAGAGGTCGAAGGCGCTTCAGCGCTCGGTGACGTGTTTTCCGTGCGTCGCCCTGGCCTTCCTGGTCGTCCGGCACATTGGCACGGTGTGCTCCATCCGGGGGCAACACGCCAGGCCAAAGAGGTTTGGGGGGTCATGCACGTTTTTTTTTTGGCTAGGCACAAAGGGCCATCGCTTCGGTGACTTCGGTTGCCCAAATCATTTGGTTTGTGAAGATGTGGCTTGTGCGCTTGTATTCAGCCATAAAGCTCGGTGACAGAGGGAGGACGTCGGCACGAAAGAACGGCCGGAGCAAACCTTTCTTTGGAATCGGAGGGAATTCATGAGATAAAATATGATAAAATACGGCATGGCACTGCGACCAAGGCAGTCTCGGAGGCGGCCACTCAGTTGCAAGCGAAGGGCTGATCAGACGGGGATTCGATGTTCAGTGTAGTCTAATCCGGTCCTTCCTTCCATAGGTTATAAGGCTTCTTGAGGTATTCGAGGCAAGCCCACAGACCCACGTCTTCAGCCAATCGCCAACGACTTGAGTTCACTCAACCTGGCTCGCAGTTCTGATTCGCTTTCACCGCATTCGCTCCAAGGATGAGCATGCGCCGAGCACGCCGCTTCCCTCGAACACCTCCACTCCGCGGTGTAGGTCGCAGTTGGGGAGTCGATTGTCGCTGCGGCTCACTGGCTTTGAGACTCTGTTGGGCCAGCTGAGAGCGCAATACGTGTAGCTTGGATGCAGTGCGCATACACTCGATGTGTGCGCACCCGCATGTGGGACGGGGTTGCACAGGTGATCTAGATGAATGGGTGAATGGGCATGGGTTGTTTGGCCCACAGGTTTGGCCGGAGATGGAATGTAGTCCCACCTGAAGGAAGAAAGGAACTCCAGAAGGGCGAGAAGCTGCTTAAACCAGCTGCACCGGCGTCTCCAGATCCCCACATTGGGGAGAGACCGCGTGGTCACGCTCTTCGGCTTCGTAGAAAAACAGAAGCCGTGCAAAAGGGGGGCTCCATCCACCAGGACCTTCAAAGTGACCGAACTTGATATCCCAGGATGAGGTCACTTAGGCCAGTAAAAGGTCACTTAGAGACTCCATTTGAAGGCCACACCCTTCTTGGGACTGCTGTCCTACCTCTGTGTTTCAGTTAAGGTGGTTGGGGTGGGTGGTTGGGGGCTCAGTCCCTATCAAGGATGTGGGACTGCTTTGCTCCAGAACATGCCAGAACACTATTTCAACATATTTCAACTATGTCATCGTCCATTTCTTATTTATGCTTCCCTAATTCAATTTCAACCAATGAGTGCCATGGATGGGAGCATGTCACCATTCTAGAACGTCTTTCCCACCCACCCATACCATACCATACCATACCATACCAAACCCACCTACCATTGATCTTCCCCACCTACCCTACCCACCTCTCTCCTCATCCGCACTGCTCGTCAGGACGGAGGTCTCGGAGCTTCACGCGCACCTCACAGAGGCTCACGCGCAGATCACCCGGCTGACGCCCCTCGGGCGTTCGTTTGGGGCGTCCGGCTCCGTTCCGGGTCCCTGGGTCCCGGGCTGGAGAGGCAGCTGGAGGGGGCTGGCGGTGAGTGACCGTCGATCCGTGACCGGGTGATATATAGAGGTCACATTCAGAGAGACTCCAGTCGAGGTCACCAATGACTGGTGGATTTCAGGATGGAGATGGAGGGAGGTATACCGAAGGGAAAGATGTGGAATGGAAGGTCAATCTGGCTAAATCGTCCAAAGGAGTACCCTCCGACTCACTAGCACGGAACAAAAAACACATCAAACAAAATTGGATCAATTCGTGGGCTTGTAGAGGACCGTCCTTTTGCCCAGTGGCCATGTTCCACTTCCATCCACTTCTAAGTGACATGTTTGTCCGCATGAGCCTTTGCCACAAACACTTCTCGGATGGTCGACGGCCGTTGGCTGTTTGGTTCGATCGATGGTCAAAGTGTTTGGGGACCTCCAATACCGAAGCTTTCGCTTGGAACTGCCGAACGGGCAGTAGTAGACGACGACCATATGTGACCCAAGGTCCATTGCGGTGCTTCTAGCCCTTCCAATTCGTGTTTTCGTTTTGGAAGAGTTCAGTTCAATGCAGTCATTGTTCCAGATGCTTCGCTCGATCTTCCTGCTCCCGATGCGTCTCTCTTTCCCCCACTCACCCATCCCATTTTGGATCATTCAGATGTTTCGTTGGTCATAGCAGCTATATCCAAGAATTCCCACTCGTGCTTTTGGGTGACTCTGCTCAGGGGAAACCCGCATCGCTGGGGATGACACGGCAAATCGGGGGTGGGTCGGACTTTGGTGGTTTCGAGATGTTTTGAGTGGGTGTTTGTAGTACAGTTATAGTGGTTGTTTATAGTTTAACGTGGTGAATGTGGGTCATACATAAATGTGGTGAAGCATGATCTTACCTGAGGAGTGTTGGGTTTGGTGTTGTTCTAAGGCTGGTAAGAGATGACATGGAAGAAGAAATGGAGAAGATCCGCTCGGAGAACGAGGTGAGGGGGGAATCGATCTGCAGGGCCCAGCAACTGCAGCAACGGGAGGTGCAAATCCCATAGATGTAGGTCAGACACTGCAGGACATCATGGGTTGGTGGCCACGGTGGGGTGAGTGAGAAACACCTGTTTGGTTTTCGGATTTCATGGGTAGGGGTGATGCCATCCACCTAACCATGATGATTTCAGGGAGTGTGCTCAGTGTACTCGGAGGCGTGTTTGGGTTGATCCACTGCTTGGCGACACGAGCTAGGCAACCCAAGAAACAGCTCGCCATCATTCTTCGGGCCCCAGGCCCACCATGGCGAGCCGAACGGGATATCAATTTGAGCAATCCCAGACACGACACATGGGACTGGAATATACATTGACCCCCCCCTCAAAACCATCCCTGGCCGTTTGGAAGGCAGTCCGTTCTTCTTTTCAGTCCCAGACGGGTCGTGTGGAATGAAAGATCCACCCACCTGGTTCTTCAAAGTGACCTTTTGATAACCTGGTTTGAGGTCACTTAAGCCTCCTAAGGGTCACTTAGGAACCTTCAAAAGGTCACTTTGAAGAAGCTGGCACAGCCAAACTCACGGTTCCTTTCGGACCTTCTGAGCACCGCACCTTTGGACTGCGGCTCGGCGGAGTTGGATTCGGAGCTGCGAGTCACACAGGTCCCCCAACGGTCTCTTTTGCTTGGCATTTTGCACATGTATCTGCACATGTAAAAGGGTTGGGCTGAACTGGGCCGTTTGACATGTAGTTTTCTTTTTTTCAACTTGTTTTGTGGTCGCTTGATATCGCGAGACCAGACTAAACCACCCTTAGACTGAAATCTACCCAAATACAATTTTGCCCTTGGAGCGAGACTTTTGCGGAAGGACCTGTTGCAAGATCTCCACCTCAAAGAGGTGCGTCAAAGCAAATCCTCTCGCGTCTCCCTGGGGGAGCAGTCATTTGGTAAGCAACCTGCGGAAGGAGCGACGAGCTTTTGCTGTGGGGAAGCCACTTAAACCCATGAAGCAGGGAGTTCAGGGAGCAATGACAGGAGTTCTCCAATGACTTGCCAGTTAGGCAAACACAGGTTGCAACTGAGGTTCCAACTTGGATGTCAACCTTTAAATACTATACATGCACAATCTAATTGTCTAATTGCACAATCTAATTGCACAATCTAATACAATCTATACTTGAGGACAAGGTAAATCTCAAGTGATGCCTCTTGCAAAGATTGCTTGGAGCGTTCGGGCCCAATGATGAAGACGTTCATGACTCATGACGCTTGCTGTCGCATGAAGTTTGTGGTTTGATCCGATGTGGAGCAGCCTGGGTTGTAGAAGTAGCATTGGTGGACAGGCGATTTGTGCGACTGCCAGTCCCCTAAAATATCAAAGCTTCCAAGACAAAATGCAAAACGCGCGTTACATGCCGCCGGAATCATGAGTGCTGTACAAGTCTCCCATCCTTACAACCTAGTGAAGGCTGCATCAAAAGCATTCAACAAACTGTTCCTGTGCCCGTTTTCTTTTGACTGGCACAAACTACCCGGAATGAGGGAATGGATCACTCAATCGAAGCAGGTCCGGTCTGTCTCTAAGGCGACCCCTGAAAACCGATCGCTCCACATACTTCCGCTTACCGCTCTCGTGGCGCTCGTGGCCGATGCTTCGGCGGGTCGATCGTGGCGGCCTGAGGCTGATGACGTGCTCCATGGAATCGGTGCCCAGCAGCCAGAAGACCTTCCCCACGCATGTCAACGCCGCAATGGACTCTTGGTGGCAGAATTCCGGTGCAGTTCTCGCGAAGGGAGGGCCAGGGGGAGGTGAAGGGAGGTTGGGCCTGAACAAAAAGATAGGCCGAGGCTGCTGAGGCGGAGTTCAGGGCCGAAAAGGGGATGACTTGGCAACACTGTTTGCGGGGGGAGATGGAGGGAAAGCTATGGAAAGCTGCCAAACGAACAGGTAGACACTTTTTCCGATCGCTTCGCTTCGATGGTGAGGTGCTTAAGGTCGTGAGGTCGGTGACGTGACTTCTTCAGACGCAGATCCCCGTGAGGTCGAAGGGATTGAGGCCGGTCTATTTCCTTCGTCGTTGCGGAGGTCTCCCTATTTTCATGCCCAGAATTCAGCCTCATTCTCCTTTTTCCACTACCCCAACTGATATGTCAGTCCCATGGAGTGGTTGAGGCCCGGCCCACCACTGGGCGACTCGCGACAACACACACCTGGCAGGTGGACACGGACCAACTTGCTACCCTCGAAAGACCCCAAATATAGACCTAGGGATCTAGTCGTACCGAACCTCAGGTACGGTGTTGTGTTCGACACTGTTATGTAGGTGCCAGGGTCGGGTCCAGTCGTACCGAACCTGAGAAGGTAGCAGTGGATCCCTTGACCCCAATAGGTAGCACCCTGTAACTCCCATGAATCGTCCACGAATCGTCCACGAGATGCACTCTGAACTTGTTTGAGACTCTGAGTATATACACGTGCGAGTCATACGCAGCTTTCGCACCGATCCGAACTCACCGCATCTCACTGCAGCGCCTTCTTACTCTCGGTCACCCGCCCGAACCCGCAGCGAGGCGAAGCGCCATGAGCAGCTGCCGACGGTGAACGCCGATCAAGTCCTCGAGGCGCGAGCGGAGCGCCAGGACCAGAGCGCCTGGACCGGAGCGGAGCGCCTGGGTTCGACACGAAGGCCGAAGGCCACAGGTCTTGGGGTGCGATTTCACCCCATAGCCTCAGGTGAAGGTGGGCACAGACCCGTTGGGTCTTCCACCCCAAGCATTTTCTCAGGAGGAAGGAAATCACGACTGTGGAGTGAGTGAGAACAGGTGATTTCACCCCTGTTGACATAGCAAAATGGTCTTCCCATGCATGCCGTTTGCCATCCACTTCCATGTTAGCAGGTCAGAGTGTACTCAGGAGTGATAAGTGGACTACTTTTTTGGCAGGTCAAGCACCAGCCGGTTTTGAGGTCGATGGGGGGTGAGTCCATTTTCTCCTCAACCCTTGTCGTCCTAGCGGACTAGCGGACTGGGTGATGTTTAGTGTCTTCAACTGGGTGAATCACCTTAATTGGAAATATATGTTAACGATGACATGAGAACTTCCTAAAAACAAGCAGGAACACCATGGCCTCCTCAGATTTGGCTTCTTGGGACTCTTTTTGATTTCTACATGATCCTTGGCTGTTTAACCCTTGCGAATGGGCGAAGAGCATGGGCATCTCAACAGACACATAGAATCAGGCACAATTCCAACTGCGTATGATCATGCTTGAGTCCTAGTGAAACTTGCACACCAAATCAGTGCACTATCCATGCTTGCTGGTGTTCAATTCATTTCACAGCTGTCCTTTTTCCATGTCCAATGCTGAACAAAACCTCTGACCCCTGAACATGCCTATAGTGCCTATAGTGCTATGCCTAGTGCTATACCCGACCCCCAGAACGTGTCGGCCGAACGTGCCGTGACAGCCTCTCAGCCTCTCAGCGTGAAGAGGTCATGGACGACGAGCGCGCCTCGATCGCTTCCCTTGAAGCGCTCTTTAAAGAGACCGTCACTTGGGCTCCACTCCCGTCGCGGCATGGAGGGTCCGTCGCGGCATGGAGGGTCGAGCCTTAAGGCGGTGTGGCCAACTACATGGTGAGTGGGTGATCTGACAGCCTGAGGATCTGACCCAGACGCGACACGTTTGGGACTGCCAGGACTGCCGAGAAATAGCCAGGGGTGGTGCCAGGGGTGTTAATTGATCGGCATAGATGGCATACATGGAGCTTGATGATCTGACATCAAAGGTATCATGCTTTTTGGTGCAATACTTTTTGATGTAAAAACGTGTTTTTCCCCTCCTCCCCCTCCTCTCCCCTGGTGCTTTTCAACGATCAATTGAATCTTCCCTCTAACATCCTGAAAATCCCCGAGAGAGATCTGGCGAAGATTTGCCCTGTTTTTTTCCCACAGCTATCCCCAGCTACCTCAGTCCATCTCCCATGTCCAGCTACCATCCATCCCCCATCCGTCGGTCGACTCCTCTCCTCTCTTCAGCGCGCTGAGGACATGCGCAAAGGCGTCCTGGCCGCGGACGAATATGCCTCTGAGTCGGACTCCGAGATCGAGAGGCGCATGGGGAGGGGAGGGGTTGGGGGATGTGGAGACGGAGAGCAGGTGAGATGGTGGGAGAGACGTGGGATGTGACACGACACGTGACCGGGACTGCCAGGACAGACTGCCCGAGAAATGGCCAGGGGTGGTTGACTGGGGGGTCTGGCTGTTTCTCGGCAGGTCCCAAACGTGTCGTGTCTGGGGTTCTTCGTGGCCAAGGCGGAAGAAAACGTGACCGGGATCATCGGACCTCGGAACAGCTGCAGTAGCCAACTGGGAGGACCATCGAACGTTCAGGTCCTGAAAAGCCTGCCAGTTGGGGGGTTCAGAGCTGATGGGGCCCTTTCAGACCTCTTGGCGTGCCAGTGCCATTTGCTCATGGTAGGAAACCACTGTAGGCTCTCATTCTTTACATGAATCCTGATGATGGAGTGCCCGCTGTCTGACAGGGCATGTGCATTCAACAAAATTTTGTGTGAATCACGATGAATCCATCAACCCCCCCACAAACCAGACACGGAGAATCATGGATGGTATTGGTAAAAGCTTGGTCTTTATACCAGGACCTTCCAAGAGGTGGTTTTTGGACACCCCTAAAGCTCTAAGAGGCTATTTGTAGTCACCTCTTGGAAGGTCCTGGTATACAGTATAATAATGTGCCTTTAATGGATGGTTTTATGAATCAAGAGTCTTACATGACTGTGCTCTTGACTTGATTTAGGGATCCCTTTTGGAGCATCGTCTTGATCGTCTTATGGGAAGGAACCAGGGATTGGTGCAATACTCGAGCCAGCTGAGCCAGGCCAAGCCAGCACAACTCCAGGATGGTGCAATGATTCTTCAGGTGTTTTTGCTTTCCCTTGATGTGCCTGGTCCTGGCCATGCCAGGTCCTTTTGGGATTGTTTTGTGTGTTTCTCTCATGTTTTTGTTGTGTATTCTGTTGCTTCAGTCTATGTTCTGTCTACATCTCTCCTTCCATCTCCTTCCCACCAACGTGTGGATCCTGGAGAGCGGCGCCAGGCGACTGAAGAGACTGCCGCGGGTGGAGCGAGCGCGGATCTGGTTTCAGTCGACGCCTGGATTGGGTGGAGAGAATGTGAGGTTTTTTCGGCCGGGACCAGCGGCGTGGCTTTTTCAGAGTACATTCCGAAGGCATGTGGCATGGTACATATTGTAATATATGGCCGCATATGGCAATCCTCAGGCAATCCTCGCCGTGGCTAGTGCTGGGACTTTGGGTATGTTGGTTTCGTCTTCCCAACTAAAGCCGTGCCGCCGTGCCGTTGATGTCTGAGCCGGCAGTCGGAGCCTTCCATTCCTGGAAGTGAAGGCGGCCTGGTGCGGTTCCAGTCCGATGTATCGTTTAGTTGTTGCAGTAGCTCTCCCTAGGGAGAGCTCAAAGAAGGGCCCACGTGATACCCACCTTCTGAAGTCCCTGGTTCTTCAGTTCGTGACCGAACTTGATGACCTGGTGGGTTCGGTCACGGTCGAACCAGCCGAACCCGGACGGGACGGTTTAGGGTCACGAACAGGAACCTTCAAGTGAGGTCACGAACTGAAGAAGCTGGATGTTCTAAGATGTGTCTTTTAATTTTCTGAAAACACGTCGAACTTGGCTCTAAGATAAACATGTTGGGAGGGGTTGTGTGGTAGACACACGGAGGCCCACATGAGACCGCCCACACCCTCCTGGCCCAGACTCGACCAGACTTCTAGAGGCAGCGGTGCTGGGTTGCTCACCGGAGTCGGCCCATCATGCCCGTCTGGATCCACATACCCCTAGGGATCCAAGTACCTTCTCAGAAGGCACTTGGACCCTCAAAACCCACATAAGAGTGTCTCCAATCACCTTGTGAGAAGGTAGGGTACCATCCCATCAAGCCCTATACTATGGGCCCCATCACACCCTTATTCACAGGTACGGTGAGGACGGAGACTAGTCCTTAGGTGGATCTAGGGTCGGGCCCAGTCATACCAAACCTGAGGTACGGTGGCAGTGGATCCATAGGGATGGGTGGTTTGGCCCCCAAACCCATCAAAGGCCGGTGAAGCCCTGGTTTTCGAGGGTGAACCATGGTCCCTCGTTTGGCTGGGAGACTGAGGAATGACTATGAAATGTTGATGGCGCTGAGCTTATCTCTTTATGTGGTTTGGATGGCCTTCGAGTTGCTTGCTACAGATTGATTCGCTCTCGGAAGGGGTGGCTTTCTGGGTTTGCCAACCCCCGGTCACTCAGGGGTGGAAGGTGAATGGGACCAATGGAAGCCGTGTTTTGGATCCGTTGGATTGTCCTTGCCATTGGCGGGCAGGTGAGTTCTTTTGCGTCCGATCTTTATACATCTTTCTGCCTGCAGTCACAAAGGGGTGCGATCAATGGAGGTTAGGGGTGCCCATGATCCACTCACTTGAGGACTAAACACCACCCCGACATGTGACTGCTGGTGTCTTTCTGTCTTTCTTTCTTTCTTTTGGTTTTCTATCTCTTTCATTCAATCTAAGTGGCGTGTCGTGTGGATGGATGGATGGATGGATGGATGGATCAATCGACGGATAGAGAGGCTGCACCACACGCGGCGAGGCTGCAATTCTATGGTGTGATTTCCGGCTATGACCTTGGCAGCTGGGCCGTGATTTCAGTGAAACGCAGAGGATAAACCCAAAGAAGTGACTTTTGGAGAACCAGGGGTTTGGTTTTTGAGGCCCTTGATTTGATCAGTTCGGCATCATGTTGATACCCCATGGAGACACTTGACCAGGGTGCTCACTTGTTCTACTTCGATGCCATGCCAAATCCTTTCGTCAGCGCCCACCGCGAGGAGTCTACGACTTCCGCGTGCCAGTCGAGGAGATCCCTTCGTGGGATTCGGTCTTTCAGGCTCACCAGTCCCCCTGACCCAGCGGACTCTCAATGCCCTGTTGGAGCGTTGAAACCAGGACCACCCATTCGTGCCGTTGACCACATGGAATGGGGGCTTGCGACTGTCGGTTTCAATTGCAGCGACCGGCCTCCCAGGCCATCCAATTGACTAGGGCGTACAGAAAGACCCTTAAAACATCTCAAAGCAAATATTGCATGGTTTGTTAGGGTCACTGGCTGACTCCTTTTATCTTTTGTCTTTAAAAGTAGATGTTTCGCGAACATGTCAGCATCAGCCGGAAGCATGGCACAGTACCTCCCATAAGCATCCATAAGCATGGCGACCCGTTGCCCTCCATTGATCGCCTGGAAGTGGGGGATTTTCGGGAATAGCGACCAGTTGAAGAGTTCCTTCTAGAGTCAGCTGGTGTAAACCATGTGGCTTGAATCCCGGTCTTGATATTTTTGTTTTTGTCGTTTGATGTGCTGCAGGAGCTCCCACTCGGTCACTGCTAGCTGCTGCTAGCATGGTTTTCGGGCTCAGTCAGAGGTCTGAACACCCTGTGTTGGACCACCAGCTCTTCACCGGCTGGTCTCGGGACGGCGGACGGTGGACGGCTGTTTTCACGAAGTGCGCAGGTGGGTGATGCATGCTTTACGGCCTTCTACGGCATGGACGTCATCGTTCGCATGTGCCTTCTCAGACGCTTCGCCGAAAAACAGTGTCGATTCCGGGAGAGGTGGGTGCCAATTCCGGGGAGATGTGGAGGAAAGCCAGCTGGATGGAAGATACTACTTGGAGGCTCGAGGTTTTTCAGTTTGCTTTTTTCAGAAGAAGGTAGTTGCAGATGTAAGGCCGAAATCCCAGCAGTTTGCTGGTGCCTCACAAGACGTTTCAATCGAACAAGTCTGCATTGGTTGGAAGGAGTCAACTGAGTCCACCGAGTCCCATTGCAGTCAGCTTTGTGGCCATGTCCCAGCACTGGACGTCCAAGGTTCTTGTTAAGTTTTGCAGAGCCAAAGAGTGAGGGAGGCAGAGTTTCGAGCCGAACCGGCCCTGCAGGGTCCCAGGGAAGGGCTTCCTCAATGGCCCATGAAAGACCTTCTTAAGACCATGCCTTTGGCTGAATTAGGGTGATTCCATGTGATTCCTGTTTTCCCGAACTGGGTGAATCCCCATTCCGGGGAAAATGTGATCTTTTGTTGTTGTTTCCTTCGCATTCCTAAGGCAAATCATGGCAAATCCAAGAAGACCTCCACAACGCCTTCTTTTAGATCCGGTGTAATTGCCAGATGATCCCCCCACAGCCATCCGGCCTTTGACTCAGGAAAGGTCTTTTGGCACCATTGCTTAAACTATGTGGATGTAGCTGCGCCCTGGTCTCGATGAACATCCATCCGATTCCGTCCGATTCCGTCCTTCCGACGACCACAGGAATTCATGGTTTGGTCTAGAAATAGCGGAATGGTCCGAGTGTTCTTTTTGCTTCTTTTGTTTTTTGTTCTCCCTCTCTCTCTCTCTGAATAAAGTGGCATGAGTCCGAACTTCGCGTCTCAACATCCGAATGAGCACGTGGTGATTGCTTCATTCCTTTGGGGATGCGATCTTCCAGATCAACCCAGCTCCTCCCTGCAGCTCAACAAACGCGGAACAACGCCAACATCTTCATGCCGACCCGAACAGTTCGTGTCCGAACTGAATTCATACCGTGGCACACCATTTGAATGCCGCCATGGATGCGCATGGTTTGGAGTCTTTTCACTGGAGCACCTGGCAACACGTGGCCCGTTAGTTCGTGCTTCAGGTGGCCTTGGCGTCCACGGCACAGCTCCTGTTGACCAATATGCCCATCAACCCGGTGCTCTTCCGCTTATTGCGGCTGGGGAAGCTGGCGCGGGCCATTCGCAGCTTGGAGATGGATGAATGGACTTGGGTGAGCATGTGTTTTAAACCTGAATGGATTTGAGGCGGATGAGGAGTTATGAGGAGTTGGTGTCCTCAAGCCCGTTCATGAAGTCAACTAGCTTCAGGATCTTGACACTGCTGTGCCGAGAAGGGGGTGATGAACAATGAGCAAAACATCACAGGCTGAGTGGGTGTTTGTCAAGCTTTTGACTTGGACTCCATGGAACTTGATAAGTATCCACATGTATCATCATGTATCCGCATAGTTTGACAATAAGACAATTGTAGTCATCATTTATTGGGGCATCATGGGGAAACCCGAGCCCAAGCACCAATTGCAAATAGATGCTGCTTTGGCTGCAGCAACTGTTGGGAACTCCAAGTCAGACCGTCTCAGGACGAATGCTAGCTGCTAGATGTCATAGCTCCGCACGGCATGGTATGGTGTATGGGCTTTCCATTTTTCCTTGGGCTCCAACCATATTCTCAGAAGGTGGTTAGAGCCCCCTTGCACCCACCCCAACCACCTTCTGGGGATGTGGGACAGGAGCCCTAGGGTTGACTGGAGATTCTTGTAGTACAAAAAAACATGTTGATCATGGTTTACCCAGTGGATCCCCGACAGCCACTAGTGGATCCCAGACAGCCTGGTGGCTTAGTGAACCGGGGGCCCACCTGGTTGGTCCGTTTTTAATCTTTGGATCTTCCAGCGAACTCGTGGTAACTGGATGCCGTAATCTTACACATCTTTACATGCCTGGACCCTCCGTTGGAGGTGTTTCTTGGTGGCAACCAGGTCCCCAAAACAGCCTGGCTCGGAGGCTGGAGACGGAGAGCCCACGTGTCCACTCCACCGGGACCTTGGAGGATAGGGGGTTCCGAAGACCAAGGCATGCTGCACATGACCAGCATTTTTCAGTCGCTTCAGCTCTTGGTGAAGTGCTCCTGGGCCGCAAGACTCCCGCATCAATGCCTGGGAACCCACGCCGTGGAACCGAAATGTATCTTTTCTCGTCGACCGTCTCAAATACAGTCTCCTCGACGAGCGTCGAGGTCTGGTGTCCTCGAGCAATATGCTTTTCTGGAGTTTCATCCTCCTCGTGGTGGTTCAGAGCGTGGCCGGGCTGATGCTGAGCCACTTGGCGGCCCGATTTCTGCTGCAGTCGACGGCTTTTCGACCGCGACATCACAGCGAGCACTGAGCAGTGACAGTATTTGGAGGAGGTGGTACTAAAAGCATCTAAAAGCTATTGAGATCTATTGAGTGAGCGTTTGCAGGTACTAAAAGTACTGTGTTCGGAGTCAGTCTTATTTGGAGGAGTACCGTGTTTTGCTTGCTTGGAAGCTATGGCTTGTTTGAGGCACACTTTGTATGGATTTCATCATGTCTCCTGACAAGAACCTCGAGCTGCGCGAGGCGGTGCGATGTCGGATCCGCCAAATTGGATGGCACCGCTCAGCCCATGTGGAAACGCTTGAGATACACGCCCCGCAACTAACATGGTTACGTGGAGAATGGCCCCTTGAAAAGCAAGTTTCCACTACAAACAGGTGGTTTTCCTCCACGTAACCATGTGACGTTCCAGGGAGAGTAGAAGTCCGAACCATTGGAGCCCTCAATATACTTTACATGGTTTCGTTCATCTTCTCCCCAGATGTCTCTTTGGGGCAAGAGAAGGAATATGAAGGAATGATGGATTTCAGGGTTGGAGGCTTGCCCATGCGCATGTGCCCAAACATTCCCATTCCATCAGGATCGAAGTGCCACAAATCACTGGTGCTTCCAAACGAGGAAGCCAATGAGACTCCAAATCTGGAACATTTAGACCTACATTGGCCTCGCCGCATAGGTATATAAATGTAGGCAAGTGCTCTTGCCCGCTGCAACGATGATGTGCAGCAGGCAGTCTTCCGCTACTATGGTACCTTTTCGCGAACCTTCCTCACTATGTTCGAGACCCCCGGCTGCCATTCAGGTTGGTCAGGCTTTGGCTCTTCGCCGGGGCGTGCGAGCAACTGTAGCTGTTGTGTTTAGTAGAAATGGACCTGTAGAGTCCTGTATTTGATAGGAAAAGTTCACATTTATGGGTGGTCGGTAGTCCAAAATAGTGGATCACACATGGTCATCTATAGATAAGGGACTCGCTGTCCAACCGCCCTGGGGCAGATTTCGACGGACGGATGGGGTGACTCACTTGGAATGGCAGGCTGTCTCGGTTTTGAGGCCAAGGACTCCAATTGTTTTGATTTTAGGACGTTGTGTCCAAGTTTTAGTCCCATGCGGTGTCCCAACTGCCTATCTTTGTCCAGCTGTGCATGGACCGGGGGCGGGTGGAGCACGCTGCTGACAAGCTGCTGCCACCTTCAACAACATGTTTGTCCAAACTGGCCATCCAAGGATTATGTTTGCAAATTGGAGCCCACCTTGCCGCGTTCTGGTGGAGCACATCAGCGAGTGGTTCTCGGTGTTTTTCCTTTTGTACCGCTGCGTCCTAGGCGGGGCGTTCAGAAGCCATCAGACACATGACATTCGTCTAGGTGGATGGAGAAGCCATGGCCAACAGGTCAACAGGAGGTTAAGTCAACAGGTCAGTTCATTTGGCAGAATCTGGTAAAAGTGGCATAGTGATCACCACATTTGTCTCTGAAAAACAAGCTGAGAGAGAGAGAGAGGAAGTTCATGAAATCATGTGAAATCCAGGGCACCCAAACACCACTTTTTTTCTTGCTTTCTGCCTTGCACCACACCGCTCCGACTTGCACCCACGGAAACCCGTGACGTGCGTGTTCTCCGGTGGGGTCGACGGCGGCGCATCTGTGCAGGTTTTGCAGTGTTGAACATCATCAACGCCGTCTTCTGGGCTTAACTGAGCTGCCATCAGCCCTCCCAGCACATCAGGGGGAACGTGAAATAGTTTCAGGTATATGTCCTCGAAAAAGAGTTTCTTGGGGGTCGGTGATGTGTTGGAAGGGCAGGCGGCAGGATGCTGTTGGACGAACGTGTGTGTATATATATATATATATGGTGTTGCGTTGTGTTGTGTGTTGCTTTCATGCTTTGGGTTCAACCTTAGAACCTTTGAGAGAGAGGAACTCGGATGAGTGGGGAACTTCGCCCTAGGCTGTTTCTCTATATCCCACACGAATCTTTTGGTGTTGTCACGGAGATGTTTGGAGGACCCACCATCCAAAGTACCATTGTTTTTCTTTTCCAATGGCACTTGGTTCTTACCAGCAGTCACAAAGAGGTGCTATCCATGGAGGTTAGGGGTGCCCATTATCCACTCACTTGGGGACTAAACACAAGTGCCATATGTGACTCCTAGGTTCTTATGTGTTTTCAGCTGATTTGACCTGACCCTCGCGGTGCTGGCGCATGCTGGCGCACAAAAACACTGATCGAGTGAGGTCTTCGTTCAGCAGAAGCCCGGCAAGCCATTGGCCGCTGTTGGGCATGGATGTTGATGGGTTTGGCGACGCACCTGGCATCCCAAAGAGCTTTTGAAGTAACAACACTTCCTGAAATCGTCACCTTTCACGCTTGATGTGGGCGATGCCGACCTGATTAGGGCTGATTCCAGACACAAGTTTCATCTCCACATAAGCAAGCCATCGGCCCAAACAAAGAACCAGGGCCATCCAGGGTCGGGTCAAGTCATATCAAGCCCAAGCCATCCAACATGTCACATGTCCCATTGGAACAACTGCTGAGACGAAGACGGCGGCCTTCGTTCCGGAACTCGCCGTTCTCCTCGGGTCTCCGTTTCGAACCCACCACGGATTCAGCGCGCGTCCCGAACTTCGAAGCGAAGCGGCTCGGAGCAGCGCCGCTCCGCGCGAGCGACGAGGACGATGAAGACGGCGAGCTCGGACGAAGAGCTGGCGTTCAAGCAGAGGGAGAAGGAGACGGCGAGGTCGTAGGGTCCTCCCTCCACTGCTGAGGGGTTCCTTTGAGGTCTGACACTCTCAGGTCCTCCAAGACTGAGGCTTAGGCTTGGGATGTTTGGGCTTGGGATGCCTCCGAGCGAAGGTCGACACCGCGACTCTGTCCCAGCCGGTCGAACTTGTGAAAGCTGTACCGTCGTAGCGAACGAACCCAGACCCCCGGATCATTATGGATGGGTGTTTGCAGAGCTCCATGGGACTGGCATATTGACCCCGTTTCAACCACCCCAATGTACGCAAATATGCCAGTCCCATGGAGTGTCTGGGGAAGGGTCATGTTGATCCGCTACTTCACCTGGTGAAGGTGAACCTTTGGCCGGGGGCCTGCATGGACACGGCAGGACTCACTAGGACACGGTAGGACACTCTGGATCCCGAAGAGATGCATCAGATCGAGATTCCTCAGTCCTTTGGAACATCACCACGTGATGAACTTCTGCTGTAATTTTTTTGGACTTCAAGCTTTCCCTTCTCCTTGGAAGTGAGGTGCCCAGGGTGGAAACGCCATGACATTAGCCCCTCAGCGACCGAAAAGGCCCAAGAGAGCCTTGATTCATTGAGCTCTGAGCTGAGCTTTCCCCATTCTCCACTGATTAATCAGGGACCTCCTAGCTTTAAACTCAGGAGGGAGCAAAGGACCTGGAGGTATCCATTTTACATCATTTTACAATATTTTACCATATGTTGTCACTAGTCGCTTCTTGCTATAGTTACTATACTAGCAGTGCCCTTGTTACTAGTAGCTTGTTCTACCCATTAAACGGGGAGCCATTCGGAGCTACAGGGAGTGCACCAACCCCACCAGGCCTCTCTCCCATTCGTCGCGCTCCACCGCGACCCACGCGGCGCCGGTCGCTACCAGGAGATCGCAGCCTACACGAGGACGCTTGAGTAGAGATGCTAAGGGTTGGCGGAACCGCTGGGCGCCTAAAATGACCACATCTCACGGATCTTGGGTGGGTCTCCAGTGGAGACATAGATAGTGTCCCATTGATTTAGACTCTGGGATTATATATTATATATATGTTATATGACATATTGATATTATACAGTAAATCCCCTCAGGCCTGAAGAGGTTCTGTCAACTTTTGTATGTGTGTGTGTGTTATGTTTTTTTGGGGGGGTACTGATCGAGAGTCTACATTACCAGTAACAGTCGGTAAGAGAGTAGAACACTTGCCTTTGGGGGAAAGGCCTTGCCACCTAACCATCATGCACAGGGCCCGGTGTTTTTTTGGATAGACGAGGATGTTCTTCCTGCTCACCCTTCTTGGTGAGTCATGTTGTTCGCATCAACAGAGGCGGAGCATGCCTCCCGTGCCGACGTTCGGAGCATGTTCAGCCTATAGAACCATGTTCCTTCTCAGAGTAGGGTGAAAGTATTTCAAAAAGCTATTTTCCACTTTAGCCCTCCAAGACTTGTTAGGACATGTTGACTTAAACAACCATCGCTTCTGTGTAGCGCAGGGCTGAGAGCTCACTGGCGTGCAGTGTTCCAACATGTTTCAACCTTCCAAACTGTCTCACCCTTGCAAGCCCAAGCCACCCTGTTCAACCCCAACATCGGTGCCAAGAGCTGGTCATCCTGCTATAGACACAAGTATTCTTGGAAACGACTCCCTTGTTTTTCTAGATCTCTTAGACTTTCTGCTTACAGACCTCTTGCCACGCTGTTTGGGGTCTCTTGCCGGGATAATTCGTGTTCAGAGCACCGGTTCCTAGGGTACTGGCACGTCCAACAGCAAGAGGTGTCAGAGTACGGTTCTCGAACTCCGCTGGGCCAGCTGAGGAAAGTGAAGAAGTTGTTCCAGACCATGGATGCCAGTGGCGTCTTGGAGATGGTCCAGGTCCAGGTCGTTGCTGCATGGTCCAGGTCGTTGCTTTCGCCAGTAGTCGGGTGCACATGTTGATTCATCCACTTAACAGTTGGGTCGAATGCCCTATATACAGCATCTATATAGGCTGGATGGGTTTCAGAGGCTCAAGATTGCCGGTCGAGACCGTATACTGTAGCACATGGAGTAGAACAACGCATGGACGAGAGAGCACTAACATTTCAGGTGTGTTTTTATTAAATGCAATTGTTTTGGGGTATTGTTTTCAGAAGCAGTTGGCTTTGAGCATCCATCGTCCATTCTTAATACCAAGCAAATACCTATGTGGTAGATGAAAGCCATTGGTCCAAGTCATTGAGAATGGTGTGGCTCATGCCCGATCCTCGATGCTCCAAAAAGGAGATAACAGGACCCAAAAGGCACACCTATATACCCCCTAAAAGTTGACGCAGCTGGGCCCAAACGAAACGTGAGTGAAAGCGCTGTATGTATCATGAAGCGCCCCGTGTTAAAACCATTCTTTGTGCCCGGCCTGGCGGCCTGGCCAAGTCTTTTAAAGGGAACAGCACGATGTGGCAGGGATATACCTAAACCCTAGGGATCGAAGTACCTCCTGAAAAGGTACTTGGACCCTCCAAACCCACCCCAAACACCTTCTCAGAGGGTACTTGGATCCTTAGGGAAACATGTTTGTTGTCGGCTCCATCCGCACACCCACGCACTGGCCCCGCACGGCACGGCACGGGCCGCCGCGGTGCTCCGTTGAGGCAACGGAGCGATCAACTTGCAAGAGTTCGCCAAACTGGTGCAGCGGCTCGGCTCGTGATGTTTTTTTTGTGTGTGCCTTCTTTTGCGGATCAATCAGGTTCATTTTTGTCCCGGTCATCTTCCCTTTTTTGGGCTGAGCGATTCGAGATGGGGTCCGGTTCCAAGGGTGTCCAACAGCTTCCAACAGCGGTTTCGGTTTCAGTGCCAAAGCTTGCCGGGGGTGGTGGGCTGCTATTTTCAGCTGGGTTCCTATCCCAGACACGACCCATGGGACTGGCATATTTACATACATTGGGGTGGCTTTGGGGGTCAATGTAGGGAAATATGCCAGTCCCATGGAGTGTTTGGGTATGTTCTTTGGTCTTTGGTTTTGAGCAGTTGTCCCTACCTGAACCATCCAGTTTGGGTGTCCTGGCTGAACATTTCGGTAGTCCGGACACCCCGACAGGATGGTGATATGTAATCTTAGCATTGCGATGTACCTAAACATGGAATAGGAACTTTGTGAACGCAACGACCTCTCTACAATTAAATGCCCAAAGGAGATCAAAGGAGTGGTTTTCAATGTCCTTCGTGACTTGGGAGAGAGTGGAAAGATTGCATGGGTAGATGCCCACTGTAGCACTGTAGCTCACCAAAAGAACACCCGGTAGCAACCAAATCTCTTCAACCATGCCTGTGACCTGTCTCGTAGTCTCTTCAATGTCTCCACCCAAAACCAGCTACTCTATAGAGATACCTTAGGTCCTTAGGTCATTGCTTCCTGTTCGGCTGCCTTCCTGGTGACCGTCTTTTTGTTGGTCCCCAAAAGCCCAAAAGGACGCTGGATCTCGAGGTCTCCAAAGTTGAAGTTCTGGATGGGACAATTGGAGCTCGAGTATCACGCCACTTGGGGTTCGAACGGAGAGCGACGGCGTGGTGTCATGTGGTGAGAACGGTGGTGTCAGGATTGGCTGAGGAGACATTCCATGAAGAGCAGAGGTGTTGCAGGAGTTTGGCATTTGTGTGTTCTTGGCTTCTTGAACTTGATCATATAAAGTTAATTATATAGTTCCCAGACACGACCCATGGGACTGCCATATTTACCTACATTGACCCCGTTTCAACCACCCCAACTGATCAGCAAATATGGCAGTCCCATGGGTCGTGTCTGGGGGTGGTTTGTCAAAGAGTTTGTTTTTCTTTTGCCCAGGAGTTTTTGTACTGGGTGTTTGGAGATGTTGTTTTAGTAGATTCTGGTCGATGTCAGAATGGCCGATGATGGGATGGGTTTGCCAAGTCCTCCAAGTCCTCCCATTCCACTGAGTGAGGGGTGCATTCATTTGGGAGACAAATGAGACAAGGAGCTCACTTGGTCCAAGTGAGATGATGCAGGAGTTCTGGACCCTGGGGCGTCTTCCTGAAGCAACCTCTTCGGATGTTCGTGGAATGTACCGAAGCTGTGCAGCTCCAAAAAATCACTTTGCTTAAGCCTGATTTTCTGATTGTCTCGTCTCTATGGGTAGGGTCTGTCCTATTAGCTGTAACAGTCAGCAAACAATTATCACTATGTTTGGACAAGGCCTTTACTAACCATCATCATCCACTGTTAGAGGTAATAGGATGGACCCAATCTATGGGTGTGTTTCTTTCTTTCCAAGCTCCTTAATACAGAAATCCAAGACCAGCCTTCTAGCCGTTGCTCGAGGATATGCTGAGCCTCTTTGAATTTTTAGCCGCTTGGATGCTAGAACTCGGCCGGAATGAAGCTGTTGCGTCCACCCCAACTGATCGGTAAATATGGCAGTCCCATGACCCATGGATTGTCAGACGTATAGGATGTCCCACATGCAGGAATTCCTGAGGCTTTGCCCCAGCATTCTTCGCATTACATATGAGGGAGGCTGACGGAGCAATGCTTCCAGGAACAGTAAATCACCAACCACTACAATCATATTTTCATAGTCAAAGGAGTGACATCAGTGTGACGAACTTGGGCTGTTCTGAACTTTCAGTTGCTGAATGATTGCACATTTTCCACTTCAACTGCCCACCTGCCTTTCATGCGGCCCACCTGCTCGTCCTACCGCTCCAGTCAGCGGCCACAGAAAACAAACCGGAGACTCTCCCTGGATCCGACTTCAAGTACCCCACAACATGCGACATGGGGCCCCCAACCCCAGCAGGTCTAGATCTGGGACTCCATGTTCGCTACGAACACTCTTCCAGGTCCCTCCTTTCGCCCCATCGGTCCGGTTTTTTGGCCGGCGGGTTGACTCGTGGGGCCGGTGTGACGAACTGGACCGGCACGTTCTCCCCCGCGGGCGCGGGCCAGGACAATGGCGACGGAGAGATTACCCTGATCCTTGGCAGATGGGAGTGGTGCTGTTGCCCCCATCCTAGGCCAGTGACCAATCCAGTGACGAAGCACCTTGGGCAAATGACGAAAATGACCGTACAGTCATTTCAGAGTAGAGTAGATGGGACAAGGGCCCCAAGTTAGGTGATTTACATGGACTCCATCTAAAGGACATCTTGTGGCCGCATGCCACGTTTGAAACATTTCAACTACAGATGATCACGAAGCTTCGCCATGTGATTGCCCTCTCAAACATCAGTCGCCGGGCAAGCAGCGTGCCTGGAAAGGATGGCTCAGAAGTTGGCTCATTGGCTGGGTTGCCATATGCCTAGAAGAGGTGTCAATCTTAGACACCTATCCTGCAACAGGTTCTTTGATTCAACATGTGCTACTTTGCCGTGACATGTATTCCTTATAAGGCCAGCACACTCAACGCAGAAGACCCTGTTCACCAGAGCTTGTGCAGTTGAATGCAGTGCACCAAGTCGTCCAGCCTTGATGATGTGGTACTCCAGTTATTTTTTGCACTCATGTAAGTTGTGGCAACCCAAGTGAACGTAAATCTTCAGGTCCCACCACCAGTGTGGCTCAGTACTTTGTTTTTACAGTAGCACATTTGCGTCTGATGAGCTCTTGGACATCAAATCGGTTGGTCCGTGCAAAAAATAACAAACGTGTCAAATGGATTCAAATGGCCTGGGTGGTATCCCAAGTTCGGTGATTTGCATGGACAATGGACCCCATCAGTCTGGGATGATTTCTTGGTGACCCAGACGTATCCAGACATATCAAAAGAAAGAAACGCCACCGAAGAGAAATATACTAAAACATAGAAAAGACCCAGCTAGACAACATGGGACTGCCATAGGACTGCCGATCAATTCGGGTGGTGCCAGGGAGGTCAATGGATCGGCATCTATTCCAGTCCCATGGAGAGACCTGGGAGATGCCATGGAGTGCCTTAGGCTGGAGTTCATCGATGGCGCCTGCCGCCTACGGGGCCAAGCGAAAGCCCTGGACGTGTGGCGCCTCGAGACCAAGCTTCTTGGTCGACGCGGAGCGATCGCCCTCAGGTGGGCACAGCAGACCCCCCCTGGCACAGACCCCCAGCGGAGGTAGTTGGAGACCTAGGGATTGACCTACATTTACATCATTCATTCCAACACTCGACCATGCAGGGAAGGACCTTCAATTCGTGACCATCCTTGAGATCCCAGGATTTTCAGTCACAAACAGGCCTGTTAAAGGCCACTTAGAGACTCCAAAGAGGTCACGAACTGAAGGTCCTGCCAGGGAAGATGTATGTATGCCGATGTCGGGGTGGTTGAGAAATCAGGGGGGTCGATGTTGGGCAAATCTTCCAGTCGACAGGTCGTGTTTGGGCATGAAAACCTACTACACATGTTTCACCTCAGACCCGACCAATGGTCACCTTCTTAGATGGCAGCCCACCTGCAGGGTCAACTGAGACATCCAGAGCTTGTGTAGTGCCTTCATGGCCTGGGTCACTAGCTGACCTTGCTGGCTGAAGACGATTCGTAGTCGAAGCCAGGAAAAGTCTCTTTTTGGGGGGTGGCCTCCCCAAATAGAGACCAAGGCTTGGAGGATTGAAAGGTTGACCGGCCTTTTTCCAGGGAAACTGTGACAATGCACTGCTTCTACAGGTCAATGGGGGCCGTCTACAGGTATCGCGGGTGGGTGCATTCAAGCATGCCCTTGTGTCCTGCAGCTGGGGCGTCACTTCTTTGGTCGAAGAACCTGGTCCAGGGAACTTTTCGCGAGGCTTTGGGAGATCCCACCGACCTGGAGTCGACCCCTTCGTACCTCCGGGGTCCATGGGGACAAGTACCTGGTTTTTGAGGCCATGTCCATCCATGTCCCATTTTCTAAGGTACTTTGGAGGGTCCAGGAACAATGTTTTTCTGTGGCAGATGGTTCGTATAAAGGTTACATTCTTGCTGAGCTCACGGAAGAAGCGCTGGCTTCTCTCACAGCCCCGTTGCCACATGGTGTTTCTGAGAAGCATGGAGGTCGAACTACATCGAACTACTATTAGAGTCCAACACAACCACTTCCAGGACCCCGATAGGTTGATGTTTCTTCAGTACCAAAAATGGAGAGGTGCTCATCTTCCGGGGTCGATCCGCGCGCGGCGCCCAGATCGCCCCGCGCATTCAAAACGTACTGGTGCCCTGCGCGCCGCAAAACCTATGGGGAATTGAGGCTCGAGGTGTTGTTGGAGGAAGTCATCAACCGGTTGGCCCTGAACAATGCTGGAAGCTTGGGCCAATGTGTGATTGCTGGGAGCTTTTGGCCTGGTGCTGAGAGGGCCAGCAAAATCAAATGAAGGGGCAGAGCTCGCTGGGACGTTTTTAGATGGGCCTAAACAAGTTGGAAACACACATATTAGCCCTGAGCATGAGGTTAGCCCCCATCTCCGTAGCATGGAGATTTTATGTCGAGAAGTTCCGAGAAGTAATTAGATCATACAGTGTGCCAACCGACGTTGCTCCAAGTCGCGGTGCGTTGTGTTTTGGGTTCACAGTCTGAGTGGGTGCTCAAAGTCTGTTGCATCAGAAATGGCTTCGATTCTAATTGAATTATGCTGAAACCATCAGTTCAAGTGCTGGTTGTTTTGGTTTAATCATGGATTTTGCTCAAAGTGTGCGGACCTGGTTGCCCTTTGGCTTTCATGGGTCTTTTCCTCTCTTGGACTGGACACCTGCGAGACTGGGGATGGCACTCTTGCGCTACCTGAGAGCTTGGCTGGATACTGGGGCTAGCGGTTCGAGGTATCTCCAGCTGGTCCCTGGTGGGCCCAGAGCACAACGTCAAGTCCACCACCGTGCAACAGATCTTCAACGCCTCGAGCTATAGCCGCCCGGCGTAGCGTGCGTGCTCTAGCGGTTCACGGATGTAGGAGCCTGGCGTAGCGTGCTTGGGGACTTTTGCATGGTTAAGAAGGACCCGCAGACGGTTTCACAGCTTCCAAATCTGTCCATGGCCATGTCATAGATGCCCCATTGACCCCTCAAACCACCACCCCGGCCTGATCGGTAGTCCCACGAAGTGACTGTTTTACTTGGTTCAAGATGGGTGGGGTGGTGGGCACCAGGGGGTGAAAGAGTGACTAGGGCGTACACGGTTGAGGTGCAGACCGCTAGTGTCTTTTTCTACGCAGAGTCTTATCCTCTTGAGCCTTATGGCAGTCAAGCATGGACACACTAGATAGGCCACTGGAGTGGAACCTGTACAAGTAGGCCTCTAGTAGGCCTCTACATTTCAGGGGGTGCCTCTTGTAACCCCTTTTACCGGCGCCTGGCAGGATGGGTGCAGGCAGAGAATGGGTGATGGTCCGAGCCCGATCGACCAAGGTCAGTGACCAGAGGTTGTCGGACAAGATGGAATCCCCCCCCGGTCCTTCCAATTCCGAAAGATGGGAGGCATTTTTGGAACCCAGTTGCCACCCAATCCATCCAAATCCCACCTCATCCCCCCAAAACAAACACCTCAAACATCCCCGCGGTTTCTTCTGGTCTTGGCCTGCACTCCCTGACACTCCACTCACCCATGCAGACGCCCATGAATGCTGAGGTCATATCAAGAGTAACCACATCGTCCGGCAGGTCTCGTAAACGGCAAAACACCTTGCCGCCGACGGGGAAACCACCTTGCCGGCGTAGTTTTTGGAATCGAAGAACGTGTCACTGAACGGCTGGCAGCTGTTGGATGCCTTTTGAGCCACCAAAACGACCCAATATCTTACAGTAAACTGAGAATAGGACATGGGAGTACATGATGAGTACCCTATCCATATATGTTGTATGAGTGTACATGTTTGGAGGTTTGTCTATCCTATTATGGGTGTATGGCTACTCCTTAGATTGGCATCGAAGTACTGCATGATCGGCCGGTGTTTTTTAGACGCTGGAACTGGCTGAGCCAGCTTCATGCTGATGTACTCCTTGGAGTCCAAAGCACACACTGGCGATACCATGACTGTCTAGGGGCAGGTTGGCTGCAGCAGCCCACTTCAGAATGCAAGTAGTGACGTTTGTCCCAGGGTCCTGGGACAGGCATCACACATCTCCAGCATCCTAGCGGTCCTCGGTATGAAATGCGCGGATCCACCCAATCTTAGGGAGAACTGACCTCCGGACTTGTACGGCTCAGTCTTCCCAAGGTGGTTTCTGTAGGGACTTGACCGTGGCACAGTCTGGGCGATTGGATCGGAAAGTTCCAAGAGGGGGTAGAACTGTTACTGATTTCTGACTGGAGGTGGTGCAGGAGAGTGGCCATGCAGAAGACCCTGGAAAGGGGTCCAACGCTACTTCCCTCCTGCCTGTCAGGACCCTATGATCTGGAGGGAAAACGGGTTTTGCGTGGAGAGGATGAGTCTAGATAGTCTAGTGACTGACAATTCTGCTTCGGAACTGGCTGGGTGAGCTTTTGATGTGGATGTGTCCTGTGGGATCGTCTTGGCCAATTCCTTTCTGGGGCAAGGGCTGGGAGCAGACCAGGACGAGAGAATGAAAGAGGGAGGTGGATGGTTGGGAAGATTGTGTGTGTGTGTGTCAACCCCTGGGCCAAGGGTTTACTACCGCCACTTCACTTTTTAACCACAGTTTCACCCGCAGGGGAGTGGAGCAGGCCTGCAGAGCTCCACTTAACAAAGCTCTTTGCAGTGTCCTGAGGATATCGGCAAGGACGCTTGCCGACGTACCTGCACCGTGACACTACTCCACTCTTCCTTGCTGTGTTTTGATGCCATGGTCCTTCATGTTTCTCCCCCCAAACCTTTTCCTCCCCAGCAGCGATGCAGCTTGAGCCGCTTCGTCACCGCAGTCAAGGGAAACAACCTTTGTTCAAACACCTGCAATTTTCTCGGACTTTTCGCCATGCTGTTCCACCGCCATCCTTCCCATCGTGGCAACTGAGTTAACTGAATACAATTGTCAGAGTGTGTTTCGCTCAGCCGTCCCACTCGGGTGCTGAGTGTGATCCCCGTCATTGGGGCGCTGTCTCATCGTGCAAGCACTAACTGACTTCACCACTTTTCACAGGAACTCCACTGGAAGTCACCGCCACAACCACCGAATTAACTGCCACAATGGCCGCCGGGCCTCACCACGGGAACTGACAATGTTGCAGCGTTTGCATTTTTCTGCACTGAGATGTTTGACGGCTACGTATTCACATGTGCATGTGCTGCTAAGTATTCACAGGCCGGATAAATTAACTGTGCACTTTTTTCCCCCTCCCTACCCCTGGGCCCCTTTGCTGCCCCACCCGCTACTCGGGAAACAGAAGGAAATCGCACTCAACACACTTGTGTGTTGGTGCCTTTCCTTCTGTTTCTCCTAGCCTATTGCTAGCTACCCGGGCGGCTTAAGACAAATGTCCCGCTCGCGCTCTACTTTCATTTAACTAAGTGGGCCTCGTAACTACCCCTATCTTTCTTTCTTGCCCTCTTAGTCTGCTTTTGTTTTGTTTGCTTTGTCTGTCTTTCTAAGGCTTTTTAGGTGGCTATTAGTTCTTCGCAGCGCCAATATTGGCGCTTTCTGTACAAAGCTCCACCTTCAACGTTCTACACACTTGCGCCGGAATCGGCTGTTTGTGTGTGTCAACCCCTGGGCCAAGGGTTTACTACCGCCACTTCACCCACCACTTTTTAACCACAGTTTCACCCGCAGGGGAGTGGAGCAGGCCTGCAGAGCTCCACTTAACAAAGCTCTCTGCAGTGTCCTGAGGATATCGGCAAGGACGCTTGCCGACGTACCTGCACCGTGACACTACTCCACTCTTCCTTGCTGTGTTTTGATGCCATGGTCCTTCATGTTTCTCCCCCCCAAACCTTTTCCTCCCCAGCAGCGATGCAGCTTGAGCCGCTTCGTCACCGCAGTCAAGGGAAACAACCTTTGTTCAAACACCTGCAATTTTCTCGGACTTTTCGCCATGCTGTTCCACCGCCATCCTTCCCATCGTGGTAACTGAGTTAACTGAATACAATTGTCAGAGTGTGTGTGTGTGTGTGCATGTGTGTTTTTAATGTGCTTTGTTTTTTTTTTACACCCTGGAAGGCCAACATGGAACCTGAAAACCCCTGGTTGGTAGAGGAAAATAGTCTTCCATGGGACCATTGTCAGGGTCTATGTTAGTTTTCGGGAGTGCATGTTTGTCCCGGTTCCGGTGAGCTGCAAAACCATCATGATGGATTGTGGTCAGTGCTGTCATTGACTTCCTTTGGACTCTGGGTGTGGCCGCCTATGGGACATGGCTCGCAGACGACAGCTCGGTGTTTTTTTGTTGAAAGCAGGTTCTGGGGAGACAGACAAAGCAGACATCACATGCCTTTTGAGGCGTGCAACTGGGTGAAAGATGGTGAAATGGTTTGGCCAACTGAAGTCTTAACCGGTGCGAGCCCGATGCGAGCAGAGCTGAGTGCCATGTGCACCTGAAGCTGATTGTCTCTTGTTTTTGCCGCGCTGGCAGCATTGGTGAAATTGGGTCCCTGAGACAAAGACCCAGGTTTTAGAGGGTTTTGGAGAACCAATTGCCGAATGCCACAGAAATCCACGGAATATTCTCAGAATGCTACATCTTCTCAGCCAAAAGTACATATCTCAGCTATATTGTATATTTCTATGGTTTCCCCTAGTAGCGTCCTTGCTCCCAGTAGCGATGCCAGGAGCCCCTAGTAGCGTCCTTGCCCCCCAGGACACAAAAGCCAAAGCAAGATACATTTTTTGGGGAGGTGGAGAGCTGTAGGATCGGAGTTTATTTTCCTGTTTGACTGAGGGTGATCTGAAACAACTGTAAGTTACTTTGTTTTAGGCTCATAAAAACAAATGTAATGCTTACCTTGAAACATGTAAACTTACATGTTTAACAGTTCACTTTCCATGCCCCCCCAGAAAATGTAACAGAACATATATTGGGGTCTCCCTTCTGAATTATCCAATATATATATATATATATAAAGGTGTTGGTCTCCCGAACCGAACTGAGGGGCTTGGAAATCCTGGGAGGTTTGATAACCCATGTCACTGTGTTTTGGGGAGAAGAGATTTGGCCCATCTGGCGACGTCCTTAGAGCTGAGATCGGTGCCTTCCAGAGATGGAGAGTCGTTTTCCTTCTGCGATGCATAGGTTGGGCACCGAGGTTGGAAGAGGACTTGTCCGACTTGGAAGGTTCTGGGGACAACCAGCTAGCGGCGGCCACATGAGGCTGTATAGGTCTAATATGCTGTTAAGCAGGACCTTCAGGTTAGTGACCTCTAAATAGAGTTTGTGTGACCCTACACCCAGAAACGAGTTGTGACTGAACATCCCGAGATCTCAAGGATGGTCACAGGCACAATGACAAGGCACCCATCGCTTCGTCACTGAAGACCCGTCACCTTGGCCGCGAACTGAGAGAACTGAATGGCTCGACATGGAACCTGGAGATTTCCAGCCTTTTGCCCCAAGATGGTTCGATGGCCGGAATATGCGGGAATCATTTCACTCGTCCCCAATGAATGAATGGAATACCATAATTAATATCATGGGAAGGATTTTCTTTGGTTGAAAAGGGGTCAATATAGGTGAAAGTACATGGAGTGTTTGGGATTGGTTGGTTGCCACCGGAGACCCCTCACCCTCCGACCATGTACAACCTCTGGCACCAAACTGACCCCCTGAGATCTGTTTGAATGGAAACACCTCTCGTTCAAATCGAGCCCCACGCATGCCTGGCCACAGTACTGGTGGCACCCAGACACGACTCATGGGAGCGGCAGATTTACATTGGGGTGGCGCCAGGGGGGTCTTTCTGGGGCGGCAGTCCTATGGCAGTCCCATGGAGCGTCTGGGTATGGGCAGATCCCCTTCGTGATATGTTGTGCCCGGTTCCAGCCTCAAAACTAAGATAGTGATGTCTTCTACAGCCGTGCTGGCTGTTTCAAGCGAGGCTTGACTCCAACGGTCGGGCTTTGCTGCTCCAGCCTCCTCCCAGTTGTATTGCCCATGAGACTGGGGCTGCTAGGGGTGTGAGTCCTCCGATTCGCTACGGTCGGTTTTCCTTTTGAATCCCCTCCTACGGTCGGTTTTGCTGTATTCCAAGTTGCTGGTAGCGGGGGGGGTCCCATTAGGATGTGCTTGGACGAGCGGATTCTGCGGATTCTGCGGAAGGGAATCACCAGGTGGCTGCGGAAGTGGACTGAGAAATGTGAGCGGACGAGAATCGGAGGAGCACATGAATCCGGCTTAAGGCATGATTCTCGAGAAGAATCCACATCAAACATGGAGGCTGGGATACGCAATATATATATATATATATACACAATATATAATATATATATATATATGGATACAACATGATACAACACTTTGAGCCGGATTTCCCGACTTTCTCCTAACCTGCGAGGAGTAGATCGCACAGCCCAAGAACACTGGGAGTCGCTTCATCTATCCTCGCTGGGCAATGAAAGGAGACGTGAAAAGAAGTCCTGGCTGGTGAATGAAGCAGGAAAACATAGGAAGACCCGTAGCGGGCCCACATCGAAAGCAGATACACTCTGACGAACACATCACATGGAAGTGGTTTTCCACTTCCATATTGGAGAATATCATTACTCCTCCTAGCCGCCAAACG